AGCCCCATTTGAACCCTTGGACCAGGTCTCACTCAAGTTCCTGTCACTTAAAACTGCATTGCTGCTAGCGCTAGCATCAGTTAAGAGAGTGAGTGACCTGACCGCCCTTTCAGTGGCTCCCGCATGCCTCAGGATCCGGGAAGATGGCGGGTCTGCTGTTTTATGCCCCAATCCAGCCTTTGTGCCCAAAAGCATTAATGCTTCCTTCAAATCCAGGTCAATTTCATTGGCTGGACTTTTTCCTCCTCCCCATAATTCTGAGGAGGAAGCGGCTTCTCACCTTCTCTGCCCGGTGCGCGCGCTTGTACGGTATGTGTCACGCACATCGGAGATTCGTCGTTCACAAAACCTGTTTGTGCACTACAGGGAGTCTTCCCTTGGTCAGGCGCTGTCGACCCAGCGTCTTTCGCACTGGCTGTGTGAAGCCATTTCCCTCGCTTACACGTCATCGGGGCAGGATTCCCCTGAGGCACTCAGGGCTCAATCAGCCAGGGGGATTTCCTCTTCGATGGCGCTCCACAGTGGTGTGTCGATGGAAGACATTTGTCAGGCTGCTTCATGGGCTTCATCCTGTTCCTTTACTCGTTATTATTTACGAGATGTGTCTTCAGGTTCCATCACTCGTTCAGTGCTTGGACCCCAGCAGGCTGAATGAATGCTTATGGCACCTCATTGGCCTTGCTGAGATGGATGTCATCCTCTCGTGGATGATGTTTTTTTAGTGAGGGCCCCTCTCTTATCGTGGCTGCCTCAGTCTTTAAGCCTGGTCTGAGGCTGAACGTCCCTCACTAAAGGAGATTGTTTGGGTGTGTCCATTGGTTGTGTTAACCAGTGTGGCGTAAACCCATCCAGCTGCGCATTTTTCCAATAGCAGCTCGCTTAAGGGCTAAGACTAGACGAAATAGAACGTTGGTTACGTATTGTAACCCCAGATTCTATGAGTCTAGTCGCAGCCCTTAAGCCACTTGGCCCCACTGGTTATGATGGAATAAGAGCCATTGGAGGCGAGCAGTGGGGTCACTGCGGTTATATACCACGAGGGGGCCCACTATTGGTGGGCGTACATTTAAGCTCTTCATGATTGGCTGATGCGGAGATCATCCTTCCAATAGCAGCTCGCTTAAGGGCTGCGACTAGACTCATAGAATCTGGGGTTACAATACGTAACCAACGTTCTGAGGAATCCGCGGAGGGGCGTATCCCATAGTGAGACATCGAAACGAATGTTAAGAAAGAGAACACATAATTATGAACCTTACTTACAACTACATTGTTTAAAAATGGAATGCACATTATCAACTTCCATATTATTGGGGTTCTTTTTTTAAAGGCCCAATGTGTGATATTTCATCTTATAAGTTATCAAATTTCTTGTATCACATTCTCAAATTTGTTTTTTTTAATGATAATTCAAACAAGCATTTATTCTAAGCATTATTATTAGCTTTATATTTTAATATTTTAGACAAAAGAAGCAGACCGGTGCTCCATATGGCATGCGCCATCTTAAAATACAGTGACCTTTTAGGGACATACAACATATTAAGCTTCGCATTTGATGTTTGCGTTTTTAAATGATGTAACCTCAAAGAAACAGCAGGGGGCAGAAGTGCGCCTTGTAAGCATGCAGTCTGACAAAGTAACTAACCCCGGGTTTCCACGGGAGCCGTCAGCAGCACGTTACTGCAGCAGCACGTCTTGCTCGCGTAAAATGCTGCTTGGCCCTTCCCACGAGACGCGAAGCAGCAGGAGAGCAGCTGTCACTGACCGAGCACGAAGTCACACGAGTGACTTCGTCAGTAAACACAACAACAAGCAGGAGAAAATTACAACATGGTTTGTGTTTTATGTTCTGTCCGTTTTATAATCGCCAATACGGACCTGAAAAACAACGGAGACCGCTAGCTAGGTGATAACTTCTCACGGGGACGCGCAGTTAGTAACCTTTTTTAAAAGTAAAGCAACCGGAAAGCAGTACGTTCTTTATTCTGAAAATCTCGGTAGCTTCTCTCCTTTTCCGCGTCCGATTTCCTGTCTTTCCTTCCCCAAAAATGTCGAACTTGACCCGTTTCAGAGGCGTCGCGCGTAGAAAATAGAACCGGCGCGTAAAGGCCGCGACATGCTGCTTCTGAGACGCGGCCGACTCGCGCTGCTGACGGCTCCAATGGAAAAGGTTCTGTTGACCACAGCGGTTCCTATCAGCAGCTATGACGTGCTGCTGCAGTAACGTGCTGCTGACGGCTCCCGTGGAAAGCCGGGGTAAGAAGAAGAAGAAACTAGCCACACCGTACTTCTAGCGATGGAGGATCACACATATTCTACAAGCAAACTTGAGAAACGGGATAGTTTGTCTCATCCAAGTAAAAGAAAAAGGATTTTGAAAAGTGAACAAGACCGGCGTCATGAGAAAACCAGAGTAAATATAGGAGCAAATATACGTTGCGGCTGGTTTGAGCAAATTCGGCTCCTTCATCTTGGGATGCTTGCCCTGCTTCTGTCGCATGTCTAACACCTCTGCCTCTCTGTGCGCTGGCACACGTCTGTCCTCTCCCTCTCCCTCTTCCTCTCCCTCGTCCTCTGTCTGTCTCCACTGATGAACCATCGGATGATATCTGACTCTGTTTACGGAGAGAAAACAATTACAGACTACACTACCTTGTATATTTCCAAAATGGCAAATAGAAATATAACATTTCTCAAATAAAATGAACAAAATATTGTCATTTTTTGTAGTCAGAAGTCATCACTAACTAGCTGCCGTTTGCTATTAGCAAACATAACTGACATAAAAGTTTTTCTTATTCAAAACCTATTTAGATTAAATTAATAAAATAAGTTAGATGAAAACAACTAACCTGTTCGCTGACTTGAAAGCTGGAATTAGATGATGACATGCTGCCGTTTACAGCAACACGATTTTGTATTGTATTTGTTATATTTGTTAATAAAGTTTTAAATAATGATTAAAAAAACCCTTTTTGATCCTCGGGGGCTCCAATAGCTGCAATACCGACTCTAAACTGCGTGGTGCTAAAGAGTCGGATCTTTTTACTATGATTTCTGTGAATTTCACACACGGGGCCTTTAAATGTTTTTCTTATTTTTTATATTCTCCCTGTGTTTTATTGATTTTTAACTGTTGGTTCTAGGAATTTTGTTGTTTTTCCTGTTTATCTTTTATCTCTGTTCTACATGACTGTATAACACCGGTTTAATTAACTAACATTTTTAGTGTACAGAGCCTTGTTTGGTTGTAATGCCATGTGAATCCGCTTTATAAATAAAATTGTATGGTATGGTTTATTTCTTTGATGATTATAACTCACAACTAATGAAAAGTCCCAAATTCAGTATATATATAATTAGAATATCAATTAAGATCATTGCACCACATATTATTATTATTATTATTATTTTTACAAATGTTGGCCGACTGAAAAGTTTGAACAAGTAAAGTAGAAGTGTGTACAGCACTCAATATTTAGTTGGGGATCCTTTGGCCTGGATTACTGCAGCAACAAGGCGAGGCATGGAGTCCATCAGCCTGTGGCACTGCTCGGGTATACGGGAGCCCATGATGCTCCGATAGTGGCCTTCAGCTCTTCTGAATTGTTGGGTCTGGCGTGTTGCATCTTCCTCTTTGGAGGGGCCAGTGGCACCTGTGTACGGCAGACTTGCCTCTGTCAGTGTGGCCCGGGGCAGCTGTGTCTACATCAAAGCTCGTCATCACCAGGGTGTTGTAAAGCGCCTTGAGGGTTTCCAGGACTCTAGAAGGCACTATAACAAATACAGGCCATTTACATTACCCCATAGATTTTCTATGGGGTTAAGGTCAGGTGACTTTGCTGGCCAACCAAGAACAGGAATATCATGGTCCCCAAACCAGGTACTAGTTGCTTTGACACTGTGTGCAGGTGCCAAATCCCAAAATGAAATTTGCTTCTCCATAAAGTTGGTCAGCAGCAGAAAGCATGAAGTGCTCTAAAACGTCCTGGTAGACAGCTGCGTTGACCTTGGACGTCAGAAAACACAATGGACCAACATCAGCAGATGACATGGCACCCCAAATCATCACCGACTATGGAAACTTTACACCGGACCTCATGCTGCGTGGATTCTGTGCCTCTCCTCTTCCTCCAGACCCTGGGAGCTTGCTCTCCAAAGGAAATGCAAAATGTACTTTCATCAGAGAACATAACTTAGGACCACTCCGCAGCAGTCCAGTCCTTGTTGTCTTTAGTCCAGGTGAGACACTTCTGAAGCTGTCTCTTGTTCAAGAGGGGTTTGACACAGGGAGTGCAACAGCTGAAACCAGGTCTTCTGTGTGTGGTGGCTCTTGAAGCTCTGACTCCAGCTGCAGTCCACTCTTTGTGGATATCCCCCCATTTATGAATGAGTTTGGTTTCACAGTCCTCTCCAGGGTGCAGTTATCCCTATTGCTTGTTCACTTTTCTACCAAATTTGTCCTTCCCTGCACCTCTCTGTTAATGTGCTTGGACACAGAGCTCTGGACACAGCCTCTTTAGCAATGACCTTTTGTGTCTCACCCTCTTTGTGCAAGATGTCAATTGTTGCCTTTTGGACAACTGTCAAATCAGCAGTTTTCCCCATGATTGTGTAGCCTACAGAACTAGACTGAGAGACCATTTAAAGGCTTTTGCGGTTGTTTTGAGTTAATTAGCTGATTAGTGTGGCAACAGGGGTCTTCAAAAGAACCTTTTAACAATATTCAAACATTTTGAGACTGAATTTGGAGTTTTCATTAGCTGCAAGTTATAATCAAAAAATAAACATTTAAAATATATCAGTCTGTAATTAATGCATCTAATAAAATACAAATTTCACTTTTTGAATGGAATTACTGAAATAACTCAACTTTGTTATAATCTAGTTTTACGACCAGCACATGTATACCAAGTAGAAAAAAAGTCAGTGTACTACATTCACGTGATTTATTTAGTAGTTACTTTTTCCATAATAAAAAATATCAAGTCCAGGCATTTATGTACTGTTCCGAAGGGACACAGCCTCTTTAATAGCATTTGGAGTGAAAAAAGAAATTACACTTAATCTTTTTTTAAATCAAGTTCTTCTTTTTAACTGTAGCACAAGAAAATAACATGCAATCCATGAAAAACATTTAATTTATCCACTCTACAACCCAATGAATCAATTTGGCTGTGTTCATCAATTACAACTGAATGAATTTTAACACTTGTAAATAGTAAAGTAGTTGGACGAAAAAAAAATCTCAAAGCAAAAATTATATTTTAAAATATATATATACTGTATATACACAAATCCAGACAACCCTTTAAAACACAGACTTTTACAAGAGAATGTTTTGATCCCTTACTACAGTGTTGATCAAAGTTGCGTAATAACAGATTGCCAGCATTGTGGGGGAAAAAACCCAAAAGGTTCACAGAAAGGGGTATGATCGCCATCTACTGCATCCATTTGTTTTATTAAAAGCTCTCAATCTCTGTTATGTTTCCTCTGCAAAAGAAAGAGAACAACAGTTTGCTTGGAATGACTACTTAACTTGTTTTCTTTCTAAATAAATGCAGATCAAAAACAGCTGGACATCATAAATGAAGTGAACCTCAGTCATTAGAACACATACAAGTAAACATGTGAAATTATTTATTTGCTTTCATTTGACCTCCGACTGACCATGCCTTCAATTTCTACTGTAATACTGATTTTAGATCTTCAGAGACAAACTGTTCAGAACTATTTTTATATAATGGTGTAAAAGTCTGAGGTGAAGCAAATTTACGCCTCTTTTTTTTTAAGATAGACCCCCTCCCCCACATAGCCACTAAATGATTAAACATTAAAATAAAAACAACTTTGTTTACAGAAATCTTCAGCAGCCATGCCTAACGTGTTAGTCTATCAATATCCAAGTAGAAAGAACCAATTTAAGGAACAAAACCAACTACGAGATTTGGGATTAGCAACGTCCTTCTGGAATTCTACATTTAGTTTTGTTATTGGGGGTTTGAAGACACATTTTAAGCATTTATTTTTGCAATTGCTGTGTAAGTGATATAAATATACAAAATCCAGTACCTTAGTGACCAATCTGAGATAAATAATCAAGGATTATTTGTGCCAAATGCAGTTTTTATAACTGTCCACTCTTGTTTTTCTGCCCATCATCAACATATTTTTGATAAATTTTACCAAGAAACTCCCATATAACTTTATTTATTACATACCGTGACTGCCTATGACACTTTTATTCAACGTAGCACATTTCAAATAACAAATATAACTGAATATTTTGGCTTTTTACCAGATTTTACATCTAATCACATTGTTTTGCAGCAAAATTTAACCAAATGCCAATTTACTGTTTAATTTGTTACAAATAAGTTGGATCAACAAAGGAATAATAAATTGGTATATTAGGATCACAAAAAAAAATAAATAAAAAAAAAGACCCTAAAATGAAGAAATTTAGTTTCTTCGTGATGTCTCTGAACTTAACCAACAGCATAAAAAGGCAAAAGGCAGCACGGAGTCTCATATACTATTAAACAACATCCAATCAGTTAAACGGGCAGGTCAGTGCTTTGATCCATCCTGCTCATATCATCATCCAACACTGAACTATGGATCAAAACGGTATTTTTTCATGTGATGCTTCCATGTTACTGTCCAGCTTTTAAAGAAAGAAAAATTTAATCTCTAATCTCTGCCACGTCCCACTAGCTGCGACCGATAAGTTTCAAATTAGACACAGTCAAAGGGCAAATTGGAGCTCTTAACTAGCAAAAGTTTTCCCTGTGTCTTCCTTGCCTTTATATGTCCTCTTCCCGTGTGTGAAGGGTAGGTATCTGTACTTGATCATATGCTAGAGGGAAAGAAAAATAAGACATGTTACCACCTAAATGACACTGAATACAGGTTTAGTTCAATTAATTCAGATAAACATCTCTAATAGAAAAATAACATATGAGGTGCTGAGCAAAAATCTTGGTTAGAGAATCAAGTCATCTTTTTACAAAACTGCCCTCTATTGATTTAATGTGCGGCCATGTCTACCTTAATCTGCCTCTTCATGGTGATGCAAAAGAGCATGATGAAGTACATTACAAGGATAGGCCAGAACACCGGCACGTTGAAGGCATCGAAAAATGTGCAAATCATGGCGATGACGATGCCTTTCGTCGCAGAGTGCCTAGCAAGAACAGAAATGTGATGTTATTTAAAATCAAATGTGTCGTTTAGGATGCAGAAGTCAGACAGCCACCTGAATGTTTATTTTTAAAACCACTCCTACAAAGCCTGATTCAACATTACACACCTAGCCACAATTATCTTAACCTGCAGAAGAACCTGGAGGATAGTTTGGAACACTCAAAGTCCAAATGATAATTACAGATAAAAATGAAAGTAACAGTGCGATTCAAACGTAAAACATGACTTCATTGATATCAAGTCTTTAGTTGGCATCAGGATGACATCTGAAAACTAAAAAAATATTGTAAAATCTCTGAAATATCAGGAATTCTTGGAAAAGGAGGAAAAAAAGACCAGAGAAGATGAATGCTTGAGTAATTCAGCAGCTGAATTTGTCCTGCTACCTGTTCAACAGAACTCACTGGTTTTACCAGTGTTTGTTTGTACTGATACCGTAGACGGGAGTGCCCAATAGCCAACAGGAGCAGGGACATATCCATCTCTTCGTGAGTAAATCCAATATTAGCTTTACGCCTTTAGAATTTTCAGTGTGCAAAAGAGTTTTTACTCCAGCTTAACTTGTGACGTCTTAAAGGAACTGTAAGGAAAATGAAATCTTCTATTCTGTCTTTGGTGCTTCAGGAAAGGCCATCAGTGTGACTGCCGCTGAGCCATATTTACCTCCTTTCTGGTTTAGTCGACAAAATGTCAGAATTTGCATGTTTGAGTGAACAGAAACTCAAGTAAAACACAGAACTCTAGTCCTGCAACAAAGGTGTTTAGGGTCCAGTCACATGGCCCGGTTTGTGTTCGTACCTGAACTGATCCGCTCTGATTATACCTACACTGTGCATATAGTAGCCACTTCTCTAATTCTTGCCACTTTATATGAACTATTTTATCATGAGTATATTATTACTTCCTATATTTGCTTATCCTTTATTTTTATCTTCTTTTGCACCAAGTACCGCAGCAATTTCCTAATGTTGTGATTTCTCGCACACATGGCAATAAAACCTTCTGATCCTGATTCTAAACTTAATTAAAACTAAAGTACATCAACTATTGCCTTAATTTCTGTTCAAAGTTTTAATTTTTGCCTTTTATGCATATTGCATAGATGCCAAATATAAAGTAAAAAGCTAGGCTGTGTTTATTTTTCTCTGGTTTCTGCAAAAACCTAAATCTTTTTCCAAAACGTATCTGCATGACTCAAGATTTTACCACACAGTTCACTCTAAAGAAAATGATTTGCAATCCCTCTGCAGACTCCTACCAGAATTTGAATTCAGGCAACCTCCTGATGAAAGGGCGGAACTCCTCGTTCTGCTTCGTAGGAAGGGATGGGCCCTCATCTAAAAGACAAATGGGTTACATGTTAGGAGTCATTTCCACAGATTTTAAACAGCTATGTATCAAAAGCAGTTTTTTTTTTCAGTTGATTTTAGACAGAACCGATTCAAAAAATTACAACCAAGTAAAAGTCTAAATTAAATAATCATTTAAAAGCAACATTAGGTAAACTATGGCTACGGTACAGAAGGTGCTCTGACAACCACTTACCTTCGTCAAGTAGTGAGGGATCCACTTTTGGTGATAGAAACGCAATGAACAAGTTCAGATGGTAAATTCCCAACGCGTAAGTTACTATATACCACCCCTGAAAAGCAACAAGAAAAAGAAAATCACGTTAAAAGGCATTCAGGACAGACCGTAAGAACCATTTCCATGCCAACAATGGAGATGGTGACTTTAGTTAGTGTCTTTCTTTCTTATAGATACACAAAACATTTGTTTTCTTGTAGTAAATGCAGCCAAATCAGAGAACTCTCTTATAATGCCTGACTAAAAAAGGATAAACACCTGTAGGATGTAGACTCTGATCATGTAGACAAGAGTAAGTAGTACTGTGAGTGCCCATCGCATAGCAGAGAATGGCGTTGACTTGTCAAGCCATGATTGATAGACCTGTTTAAAAAATGACAGAAAATACAATTTTACATAAAATATGGTTTCAATTAAATTGCCTCTAGAACTGTGGGTGTTTCATAAATAACTAACACAATGGCATCATTATGGACTCGTGTCATTCATGAAATACCTGTCCAATCCTTGTGAAAAAGGCAGCAACTACTGATGGTTTCCCATGGATTGACTCCCCAACACTGTCCCCTTCTGACATCCTGCCAAATAAAAATATATATTAATCATAAATCACATATTTCACTTACCTAAAGCTTCTAATTGTGACAGAGTTTTGAAAATGTATTTTTATACTGCAATAGAAAAGCATATTATGCTTTCAAAACTAAAACACACATTTTTTACGGATAAATCTTAATTATCTTTCAATAAAACGTTGACTGTCTTGAATAAATCATGATTGCTAAGGGTAATACTAGCCAACAAGCTACAGAAATGTAAAGTGTATTATATTTGTGTCATTATCAAGTGTGGCAGCATTTGTAATGTAATAAACTCTAAACGTTTGAGCTAAACCAAAAATGAAATCAAGGATTGAGAAAGCCTGTTCCTACTTGTGGGTTGCTAACATTTTTTTTATTACAAGTCAAAAAGCTTAGGCTGTTCCTTTACCTGTTGGATTTTACTTATAAAAACAAATACGCTGGTGTTTTATATGAAGTTGTTCAGTTAAACACAGACTAAAACAAGTGCAACTTACGTTTATCTTGTGTTATGTTAGAAATTAGCCACAGAAATAGCCAACTAGCCATGTAAGTGTACGTTACCCTTTGGCCCAAATTTCCGGTTGTATGGGTAATGTAGTTCTTGTAAAGCATCAGTTAGCTTAAAAGATTCCTTTAACGATGTTAGTATACTACATTCCCCACAATTCCAAACTAACGACAATTAAACACTTATAAATACAAATTGTAGTTCTTTACGGCCCCTTGTTCTCTTTTCAGTGTCGGCTACTAGTATTTTTTAAACTACAAGTACCACCAATGCCTAAGAAGACTGACAACTCACTTCCTGTGCTACGTTTCTATTTTACCAGAGGTTTCGCAGCTAGCCTTGTTAGCATGTTAAAACGGTCTGTTTCTCTAGTGTAGCGACCACGTTTATAGTCAAATAATAAAGCGATCCCTTTTATGCTCGAGTTACAGATATGATACAGTTCAATATCTCACGTCTATACTATCAATTATAATATTAACTCACATTGGAAGTCTTTTCTTACCTGATGCGGCTTCTGTGTCACTACCCGGCTCTACCTAGCTAGCTACACTAGCTACTTGTGAGAACACGTCAGTATTTCCGCGAGGACGAGGGCAAACGGCAGGCAGGTTAATCGAGCCCCGAACTAAGGAGTACACCCTGGTATGCACAAAATTCAGCGCACTCACACGCATTGACGCATACAACAGTATGTGTTGTAACTGTAATAAATATAGATTATATGGATAATATGTTGAGTAAAAACTCTTTATTGGTTTGATCAACAGAGACATTAAAGAGAGCACATATCCATGATTTAAAGCAAAACACTGTACTCAGAAATTACATTGATGACAACAATACATACACAAACTTCTCTACAAAATTGAAGGTACAAAAGAAAAATGCTCAGTCTACTAAAAAGCACTGTTTCTATGTACATACAAATGCCTAATACTGATAATCCAGATTTAATCACCTGTAAAGCATTAAAGTGCTTGTTGACCAGTTGTTGGTTAGTGGGTGGAAGTTTGTTTCTCTATGTTCAATTCCTAGAAAATTGCTGTTAAGATTATTTTTATTATGACAACATGCTAGAACATTTAAATCTGCTAGTTTTAAAATTAAAACAAGAAGATTGGCATTACATACTAAAAACAAATATAAAGAAGATACTGGACACTGATAAACTACTGTGCAAAATGGGGATACATCTGATTTGTTAATTTCTTTATTTGAAACTTTCTTCCAAGGCCTGGCAGTTTCTGAGGTGTTTTAAAGTTGTCTGCTGCTGTAATAGCTCTCCAGGTTTTCATGTAGTAATTAAAGTCTTATTTTCCTTTTAATACAAATTCCTATATTTTTCTATCTTTTTTTGCAGTTTTGTTATGTAACCATTTCTAAAATATGTTTTTGAAGCCACTATAGATCATCTAGACATAAAAATGCTTGAATTCCAGTGGTGAGTCTACTCATTGACAAATAACTAATTAAGGTTGCCTCTTGTAACACATTATTGTATGTGAAACTCTTTAATTAGAGGTATAAAAGTAACGAGGGGAAAACGTTGTTTTGCAATGAAAGTTATTAAGATTTTGCCACATCTCAGCACGGTGTAAATCAAATAAACAAAGAACAAAAAAAAAGTCTTCAAAACTGGAAAGCAGGGAATAAATTGTTGTATTTTCTCAAAGAGTACAAAAAATTATGCTATTAAAATAAAACTGTGTCTAAAATGGATGGCCAAGGTTACGTTTTGTATTAGAAAAACTAGTCAACATAAAGAGGATGACATACATCTAGAAAATAAAACATTCTTTTTAGAATGGAACTGAAATCAGTTATTTAAAAAGCAGCTGATTGTCAAAGAAACACTTAAAAAATCTTCAGAAAGCCCAGAAGCACATTCTTTAAACCCATTTAAACGTTTAAAAGAAAGCATGCCTCTTTGGAAGCAGATTTAAAGAAACGTGAGACAGTCTAGGACTTCTGCACAGCACTATAGCGGTTATCAGCAAACAGGACCTTGCCCTGCAAGGTCTGACAAACAGGGATTCTTAAACCGTCATTGACAAAACTGAAACAAAACCCCGTGGTTACAGAACAATACTGTGTTGTTTCTGTGCTGTTGGATGTGTTACTGTACACGACACAATACCATTTTCCTAAAACATGAAAACTGAAGTAATACCAAATGTTTGATCACACATACTTACTGATGTTGTCATGTAAATGAGTTTAGCAATGAAGTAGTCCTCACATGAACATAATTAATGCAAATGTTTCTGGCTTTCTTTGCCGCTACTCTGAAGGTTTCCTGTTTGATTCTAAGGTTCAAACAGATTATGCATTTTTAAAATTCTAAATTCTAATTATCAAACACATCCAGTCCGAAACATTTACAAGATCCAGTATGTACATTTTTACAAGTAAACAAAACCTAAAAGGAAAATAAATAAATTAACTGAGAACATGTTTTAAAAAAACTGAAACTAGCACGCTGCTGGCAGTCACATGCCACTTTAACATGTAAACATGGGAATAATATCTTGTTAACATCTAATTTCAGAGTATCCATACATCTAGATTTCCCCCTGAAATATTGTGCAATGATATTTTTTTCTGTGTGATGATTTCACCTTGGATTGACTTGTGACAGCATGTTTTATAATTCATGCTCTTTCCTGCAGATGAAACAAATATTAAAGCAAAACATCCAGACAGAACAGGAAAAAGCATGCTCATTGAAAGTACCGCGAGTTAATAATCAATTTTCTGGAAAATAATTCTGCAGACAAGACCTAAAACACCCTGAAAGACCAAGTGAAACCAGGAACTGGATAAAAAAAATTCAGCCAGAGTGTTGTTTTTGCTCTCAGTGCACATCACTCTCCATGAACTCCTCCTTGATGGAATGCTTGCTGTGAGACATTTTGCAGTCGGGCATGTCAAACCCAAAGTCAGCCCACTCATCAGCAGCTGCTGCCATCCCTGGAGGCCCGACCACTGCAGACCTGTTGGGGATGGTGATGGTGTGGCGGACCCGGAAGTGCACAGCCTCCATCACCCGCTGACGCTGCAGTTCCCCACCTGCAGCCCCAATGGCTGCCATTGCAGAGGTGGCCATGTTGCTAGAGCGGAGCAGCTGCTGACCATGATATTCATGGTGATGACTGGAGTTGGGAAGCTGGAGGGGGGCAACTTGTTTCATGTCCTGCAGACCTCGCCAGATGGCGAGGCGAGACTGCTCCGGTATCTTCAGTGCACCTAAATCCTGATGAAGGAACACATAATGCATTAAAATATGAACAAACATGAAACAATTAGATTTCATGAGCGCCCTCTTGTGTTAAAAGACTGAATAAAATCTTGCAACACTGCAACTTATGGTCAAAACATCTAAAACAGCTTGTTTAATTTCTTTTGGAGCCTTTGTCCTCTTTATTATTCACTCCGTTTGCATGTGAAGCTCGGTGAATTACTGTAGGTGCGTCGACTGAGTGGTTACCTCCATGGAGAGAGACTGAAGATGGTACACAGACTGGAGGCCTTGTGATGCGAAGTACTCAATGAAGTTCTGACAGCCCAGACTGGTGAGAAAACTGCAAGGGGAGAAGAGCAGGGCTACTTAGACCACAGCTAAGGCTTCAGTGTAGGATTGAAAAATGAACATGAAAAAGTGTTAACTCTGATTTAAATTGAGTATTATTTTTTAAAATTCAGTCTAAACAATAAAAATGCAAACTTGCCAAATGCTTATGTCAAACTCGAGGATTTTCATCTGTCAAATGCAATCATCTCACTAACTACTTAAACCTTTTAGGTCTTAAAAGTTAATTTTTGCTAAACAGAGTGACACATCAAAACACATCTGTGAGATCAAGTCTTAAACTACAACACAAGGGTTAAACTTTACATTTAGAGAGATGCAGTGGATGCAAAAGCACATGCATTTATATTAATGATTCATAGGGACACTCTTTCTTTGGTCAAGAACCTTTATTATAAATACATGAAAATGTTAAAGCCTTGATAACATACAAAAAGATTGTAACTGTACAATCACCAGAACAGTCTAGAAAACAAATCAAATAAAAGATAGACAAAATCTGCTGTATCAAAAACTGTCAGAATGATGTAAGCGAGTCAAACGACTGCATTCACACATTGTCTTAAAACGTATATAAAAAAGTAAATCAAAAACAGATTTAAATTAAATATGACTTAAACATTTATTTTAAAGGAAGAAATGCTGTAGTGCATTGCAAAGAGTGGCTGTATACAGAGACAGTGTGGAGGATTTAGATCCAGGTTTGGGACACAGTCTGAGAGGAATTTGGAGCGGATAAAATCGCTCCTGGTGACACAGAAAAGGTCAACAGCTGTGTGATCAGAGTCACATCTGGTGTTTGACTGAAATAGTACAGATAACCAGAACCAGAACACCAGCTGCATAGCTTTTGTTCTCACTCAAAAGTGTTTTAATACAAAACAATCTGTGTATCATGTGGCCAAGAAGGGTAAAAGTGTTCACTTTGAGTGGACTTTCACCATGGCGTCAGAAAAACGTGATACATTTGGAAGCCTTTTTGTATAACACAGCATCATTTAGACATGTTTAGTGGCCAAAAAGTAGTTGTTTTGGTATCAACATGCCACTGATTTGCTTTAAACCTCAACGAGTGCATCTGACTGTCGGCTGGCCTTTTACGGTTGCTTAAAGAGGGAGTGTCACTGCAGGGTGAAGTACCTGACAAGGCTGGGGTCAGGGTTATAAGGTGGTGAGCTGCAGTGGGAAGCAGACACTAAATTCTGACTGCTGTGGCCACTGTTCATGTCACTGTTGCCCTGCATGTGGTTGCTGTTGAGCATGTTTGGACCTGTGACAAAGAAAAACGTCAGCAGCCACGCAACAAGGTTGAAAATGGGATGCACAAACGGACGAGTAAGCGCTCACCCATATGAGCGAGGGAGGTGTTGGCGTTGGGATGCTGCTGAGGATGCTGCCCCATCATCTGGTTGACTGACTGGGGTTTGCTGAGGCCACCATGTGAATGCATCTTGTTCATGTTGGACAGTGGAGAATAAGAAGAGGGGGATGATATGTGGCTCCTGGAAGAAATATGAGAGAGTGAGCGGTTGTGTGAACATGCTAGAAAAAGACTTGAAGGCGCTGAGATATTTTAGTGGATGTAGGTAGAATCCTAAATATCTGCAGATACGAGTGAAGACCAGTAACACTTTCTGTTTTTCTGCTATATTATTCATGTCATGTGACTGGCAAAAGTGCCAAGGTTTAAAATTGGACCTGTGACTGATTAAATTTTTTTTGGATTATATGTTTTTTCAAGACAACAGGAATTTACTTTGTGATGAACCCCCCTCCGCCAGCATGCATTGGTGGGCTACATATTTATATATATGACGTCTCGGTGCCAACGGGGTTTATCCGTGGTTTTCATGATGGTCCCACAGCGGTTTGCCCACATGGATTTTCAGAGGGCTAAATATGGGCAAACCCCTGTGGGGCCAATGGACAACCGTGGACAAACCCATACGGTTTGCTTGTATATATCCATATGGGGCCCATCCATGCATGCAGGCTGGTCCTCTGGGATTACCTGTTAGCTCAAGTCAAATCTGTCTCTCCAAACTAAGTCCATTCAAAAAGCTTTCTGCAACAAGTAGGACATTAATAACTTTTCCACAGAAAAGCACATCTAGGGCAAAGCGACCCATTTAGCTCATTGGTTTAGATTTACCAAATAACATAAACTAGGTGCGAACACGGTAGACACACCAGTTCTACACCAAAAGTCCACGTAGTTTTGATGTTTTCTGATGTCCGACCCACTTTACCACTGTGCTGATTATAAGATGATGAAACCTCAAATGTAATGTTTCTGATGCATGCACATTTTCATTTAAAAATAAGCATTTCATACAAGTTTGTAATGATAAAGAAACTGAAGAAAATGTGCAATACACACGCAAACATGCACTGAAGTGATTAACAACTCAACAGGAAGTGTGTTATACATATTTATATTTGCATGTATATAAACACTTTTTCAGTCACAATGCATCTGCAGTTTGTGGAGAACCAAACTGTGACTCACGGTCTCTGCAGCAGCTGCTGTTGTGTTTGTTGTCTATAAGAATCCACCAGAGGCTGGGGGACCAACTCCACCAGCTCCAAGCTGTCTTTGATCTTCATCAGCAGCTCAAAGTTCTCCCGACCACGAACCTGCACACAACAATAACACAAACAGGGTCTGAAAAATGTTTTTAAACCATTTTTTTCTCACAAGACTAGACTTAGCCAGCATACAGTATTAGTATGCTGAATTCACCAGTTTCCAGGTGTAAAGGTTTATGTTTAAAGACTTTCATTTTCTAGTTTATTTTTTTTTTATGAGAGGTAGATCTTACCGGAATATAGTAAATTTCTTCTTCTCCATGTCGCCTCTTCCTTATATTAATATTTGGACTGGAAATGTTTGGCGGACTCTGTTTGAAGCCTGCAGACATCAAGGAGGGAATAATCGTTAGGCAGGATTAAAACACACTTTTCCCTCTAAACAAGTATCTAGGCACCCAATAACCATCAGATGTCACTGGATATCCAGTATGAATACATAATCAATGGACATGCATTCGTTAGAGCTCTTCAACTCACTGCGTTTGCTGGCACTGCCGTTTTTGGACACACTTTCATTCAGAGCCTGTTGCTCCCTGAAGTGGTCTTCGTCAGCTTTGCGGTCTCGTCCAGGACACGCACAGATCCGACCCTCAAAGGATCTTCTGCCCAGGACTTGGCCGCTGCAGACATGATTCAGGTGGAAACAAAACTTTCTCAAAATTTCTGTAAAATGCATAAAGTTGACATTTGTAGTGATGTGGTTCCATCTAATTATAATGCACTGAACTGAGATGAATGTGATACCCTGTATTTTGTCAAAAGTCTAAATAAGTTCAAATTTAGGGAACTGAGCAAGGCGTGTTTAAATCAAATTCAACATTTGAACCGACATCATTGACTCACTCTCTGGTTTCCAGCGTGATGATGATGAGGATGGGGCGTCTGTTCATGCCACCCACACAGCTGCTGTTGCACATAAAATTATAGAGGATGGTGGTGAACTCTGTCCCAACCTGAAACACAAAAGACAAAATCAACACAAAAGATCTAGCAGGGCTGCTGGGGTTTTGTACCGATCTCAAATCAGATGCATTCATTTAATAATAAAAGTTCAAAAAGACAAACTCTGAGATTTAATAGTTAATTCCATAATACCAATTCACCACCAGAGGACAGTGTTGCAATGCTATTTGATGAGTGAAGAGACTGTTGTGTGTTTTATTATCCTCCTCAGGTGCAGTCACACACAGACATGATGGTTCCTGTGCCTGTTTGAACATGCCTGGCGTCTTTATTTTTAGATTCTTTGAGGCACTTATTCTGAAATTTGCTGTTTCTTTGGAAAAAACTCGACTAGAAAGATGAACGTTTTGTCTCGTCTCAAATTTCAGGGTCTTTTAATTAACATCTTGGACATTTGGGAACGTTAAAACGTTTGCACAATTCACATCTCAAAATGAGTTATCTGCTCAGTCTCTCAACGTGCTGTGATTTAACAAGAGTTTATTGGGTTGGGTTAGGTTAGGGTAATAGTCATTTATCTTGTGAATTCATCTGATTTATGACGGTGGTGAACCACCAACCTGTGGGGCCTCGTAGGGCACAAAGACACTTTGCCTCCCAGTGACAGGGTCATCCACATACTGACAGAGGTTGTTTCCCTCCACTCTGATCAGGTGACTGGCTGGAGCTACTTGACCTGAAGAGACAATGAGATAAAAGCATTTTGGAAAAAGAAAAATTTAATTGTGTGCTAAAGAAAAATTAATACTCTCAGGGGTGATAATCTACCATCATTAAAGTCTCGTCCAAGTTCATGGTTGGGGCACCGTTTGACCACCTCTGTGACGTGCTCTGCCTTTTTGTAGATGGGCATGGCTCTGATGATGCTGCCATGGGGCGGAGACGAGGACAGCTTGATCTGGATCGGACACGTTTTGGCAATCTGGCAGTAAAGCTTCTTCAGCAAGGGAGAGTACTGTAAAGCAAGATAAGACAAAAGGGCCTTTGAGATGAATTATCTGAAATAAAAGACATTTTTATTTAACAAAAATATTCACGACTGAAACGGTTCCCAGCATCAGATAGAGTGGGAAAAAAGTCAACTGATATGCTGCTGAGAAACCCAATAGCAGGATGCTGCCCTTTCTCTTTAAATGTAAACTTTCAGTTCAGTGCAGGCCCATTTAAAGCAGTTGGGGTCCCAAGGCAAAATGGACTTGACCCCCCCCCCCCCCCCCCCCCCCACACACACACACACCCTCTCCAACATTTTTCCCGCTGCAGGAAACACGTACCTGGCTGGGCACTGTGTGCTGAGGAGGGGAAGGATGAATTAAAAGGTTCAATGCGCTAAGCTTGCACTATTTGTCTTTGCATTGCAACTTTTTCACCATTGTCTTGAGCCAGTGCTATAATGACCCTTTTCAGGGTCAATGAAATGCCACTCAGACCCCAGCGCCCTACGTGGCCAGAATACCGCACTTGCTACTTCAGAGTTGTCCCTGTTGGATTAAATAAAGTGGAGCTGACAAGCCTGGCCCTGCAGTTTGCTTCTCGTATGTTTTAGATCACGAACACAGCTGATTTGTTTGATTTAGTGATGAACCGCTCCTGTAGAAACTAATGAAGGCTGAGGAGACATTCCATCAGTTAGATTAAGGTGTTAGAAAGATGAACATACAGCGAGGATCAGAGTTTTACTTTAGCATTTACTAACAGACATTAAGGGGTGCTAAAAAGCTAGCTAAAATAGCTTAGTAACAAACAATCATTGTTTAGTAATAAACAATCATAGTCTTTCCCCTGGCAAGCTTGGGGCCCGAGGCTAGTTCTTAAAATGAGCAAAGTAATAGAACGTTAGCTTTATTTGTGAGTTTTCAGAATTCAAAATATATCTTATTTTTGGTTTGTTTTTGTTTTTGTGAAGCACCTCAAGATTTTTATCTTGAGAGGCGCCATATAAAATATCGTCTTCTTCTTCATCCAATTGACACATTTTAATACTGAAAAGAAGAATTTTTGATCATATTTAACAACATTTACCTTTTTATAAGTATTGCTGTTTTTGCAAAGAAAAAAATTATTGTATTTTTGACCAAATATGATAAAATGAATGATGACAAGCAATTTTTTTTACTTTCTTGAAAATCATTTGTTGCAGTGTGGATGACATTGCGAATGAATCAGCTGTACATTTAAAGTTTCAATCCGTCAAAAATGTTCTGAAACGTAACAAGTTGCCTTTCCAGTAACAATGAGAGTAGATGAAGAAGAAAACGCCGAGCCGTGCTAAGGCTGAGTCAGTTATTCCTCAGTTTCCAAGCGTGTACACATGCACATGCATGCATATGACTGTAAATGTGTGTTGGTGCCAAAAACATGCATCAGAATGACTGGAACAGCCTCACATGCCTCAACACAGTCTAAGACCTTCCAGAAAAATCCAAGAAGTTCTGACCTGTGTGGACTTGCTGAGTGCTTAGAAACAGATAAAACAGCGCACCCTGTGGCAGAATTACGCATTGCAGCTCTTGATTTATAGCAGCAAATAAAAACATGAATCTTACACCTCCTCCCTATTTTATAGATGGTACGAAGAATAAAGTAAGGAGGGGCCACCAACCTAATCTAAAACACTGGAACTGTTCAGTTTGGTCTAACACTTCACAATGGGAGCTTTTATGTGTTATATAATAATTTTATGGACATATTTTCAAGCTGTTGAACACTTGAGATAATTATATGTGTTAACCACTTATCTCCTATTTTTATACATATTGGTTCAAGCTCAGATGTGTGTCGTTCAGGAAGTAGAAGTCAGCTGGAGGAGAAAGTAGCTTCAGACGGCAGGATTTGGAGTCGCCATAGATTGGATAACAGCAACACAACTCTACCACTGGCTCTCTAGGGAGCCGAAGCCTCCTCACTTTCCGGTTGGCTCATGGGTCCCCGGAAGAACGAAAAAAAGAATGAAATCGACGGGGCTAAAAGAGCTAAGGCTAAAGATCGCACATATGTTGTACTTTTATTTATATAAAAGTAATGACGTGTGTTTTGACCACACCAGTCACGTTCTTTAGAGATTTATCTGCTTGTAAATGTTCGTAATTAGCATGACTTCAAATCAGATGTTGGCACGTTGCATGACGTCACCACAGAATCTCCTCTCCCCTAGCGTAGCTGCTACTTACCACATGGCCAGATTATGGTGGTTCTTTCCTCCCGAACGAAGGATTTGAAGTTTGCCGAACTCACAGCCATTTTCTCTCTGTTTATCTCCGTGTCTGGTTCGATGACGTCACTTTGATGATGCGCATTTGTAGCCCTGGACATATTTTCACACAAAACCTAACATAACGTTTCCCCTCCCCAGTCGAAAATAAGCGCTTTCTTGGTATCAAAATGGCGTCATATGTGAAATCCATGGCACAAAACAAGCAGAATTAGAAAACAGCCCCAGTTTTTAGCCCCATTGACTTGCATTCATTTTTTTGTTCTTCCGTGGACCCATAGTCTGGAAGTAGATGGGTGTGACATTGGCTCCCTATGTGCTTTGCAACATGGATGTTTTATCTCTACAAATATCACCAGCCTGAATGAGTTCTGTTGTGCGGTGGAGTTGCTAATGCTAACGGTTAGCTTCTGATAGCGAAGACGTTCTCTGCTGTTTCCTGCACGCTAAATCAAAAACAACAGCTTTCCCCATTGTGTCAACATGGATGAGTCCCTGAACGTTAAGTGACAGAGTGAAGTAGATCTATCAGGCTTTTCTAATCCTAAGGTTTCACCGTCTAATTTCTATCAGAAGTTAAAGCAGTAGATAGGTGTAGGGTTAGGGTTAACTGATTTATAATCGGGAATAATCATTAAAAAATGGATTTTCAGTATTCTGCTCCTTTAATCAAGGTCCAACAAAAAATAAACAAGCAAACTCAAACAGAAGCAACAAAGCACAACTAACCCTAGAAACCTAAAACCTTTTAAATAACACGTTCATCAGAGGAATAGTTAATGCTCTGTTGCTGTTGACACCCTAGGTTCAGTCAAGCAATATGTTTCGATGTTATCTTTCATCTATTACAAAAAACAGTAATAGGATGTTTCTCAGGTCATTTTATGTCAATCCAACTTCTCTGTTTATTGTCTTTTGACCGTCAACAGCAGAAATGAGTGTTGGTGCCTTAAGATTTAGGATTTCAAATGTCTCAGCAGCCCTCCCAACACACACACACACACACACACACACACACACACACACACACACACACACACACACACACACACACACACACACACACACACACACACACACACACACACACACACACACACACACACACACACACACACACACACACACACACACACAGACACATGCCCTTAGCCATGAGCAATAAGACCAATGGAAATACCAGTGCACAACATTACCTGTTCCACTTAACTTTCCCTAACAAGTCCCAACAGCCCACCCATACCATGAATAAATAATTTTCTGACAGCAGCCAGACAGACGTCTTATTTACCAACCGGGGGCCTTTTCATGTTGCAGCAGTCACAGAGTGAGGACTGATCCAGTGCTTTGTTTTCAAAAAGCAAAGATAAAGGATTTAACATCAGCTTCTCCAGATGCAGGTGATTGTAGTTCATACACACCACAGAGGAGTATCACCAGTTATTTCATTTTGTAGAGAAAAGGGCTATAAGCACCTCATGATTTTTATCTTGAGAGGCGCTTTAGAAATGACATTTTCTTTCTTCTTCTTCTACTCTGATTTATTATTGAAATGATTGTAATGGACTACATTTGCATTAATTGATTAATAATTGTATGAAATTAAACAGAAATTCGTTTGAATTGGATCATGTTTAATTAGATCTTCATTCAGCTGAACAATTACAGAACAAATACAGCAGATGTTACCAAAATATGTTTTTCTGACTTTCTAATTCATTCACCTTCCAAACTGAAGCTCGCGCTGAGCATGCACGTACTCGAGCACACAAGCCAGGGGTTAAGATTCATGTGTTGCGGTCAGAGGTTTGGCAATAATACACGATTTGAAATGTCTGATGTGTATCTTCATGTTCAGACAAGAGCTTATAAACAACGAGTAAGTCGGCTCTTGGTTTCAGAATGCAAGGATAGATAAAAGGGTGGAGAGGAAAATGGACAGAAAAACGAATGACCAAAAAAATGTCCAGATGGGTTAGTAAAAGAACCAAAACTTTTGGAACAAGTCCATGAGGTTTTCTGACCACAAACTTTCTTCAACTCCCAACTTTTTCAGCCAATGTTCATAATTTAACACATGTAACATATCAGTTTTCCATTCATAAATTTAATCAAATGTGTTTCATTTCAACAGGAAGCATCCAGAAATGTGTCTAAATGTGTATTTGCTTCATGAAAACACATCATAAAGCTCTCACTAGATATGGTCATTTTTGAAGCAATGCCTGATCCATTCGTCCCTTCAGATGGAGGACCAGTGGAGGCAGGTCGGGACAGGCTCCTGCAGAAGAGGTGATAATTGCCAGACCATCATCCATATATACAAGCAGCAGCTTGCCTACTGCAAATTCAGCTAACAAATATCAAAAACGCTCATACGCACCACGACACTAAGAGATGGTGTTTTACTTTATCACACAGCCCATGCAGGCTCATTTTGACTTCAGGTAGTTGTGTGGTCCAATTTATAACAAGATCATGCAACACAAAGTTTAAAAGTTTCCTGAATGGACAGCGACCAAAGTCTATGATTTGTCCACTCGTGGAGAGTAAACGATCTGGTGCATTAATGGAATATAAAAATATGTAAGTCAAACATAATGCATGCAATCGTGAGCAAATGCTTTTACTTTTGACTGTAATCATCAAGGAAGAGTTTAAACTGATTAAACACATCTGAGGCACCAAAACTGTGTGGAAAATCTCTCATCAAATGACTTTTCCCAGATTTCAGCACTTGGCAGAGAGAGCTGGTGGTGATGTGGCTGTGGATGATGCTCTGGGAAAGGACAGGAAGGATGCTTTGTGGAGGACATGTTGGGACCTGCGTCCTAACGGAGAGACGCTAATAGCTGGGAAGAGCAGCTCCTCACAAGCCGCAGTTCAGTACATGCTGGAGCCTGCACCCCTAACTCATCACACCCCCTCCTATCCTTGGCACACACACACACACACACACACACACACACACACACACACACACACACACACACACACACACACACACACACACACACACACACACACACACACACACACACACACACACATACACACACACACACTGAGTCTGAGTGTATGGAAAGAGGTCTTGTGATTTGACAATGCTGAGGTGTTGGATCTCATTTCCAGCTGCGGTGACGTTTGTCTCCTTCCAAGTGGTGCACTTTCAGAGCTATTATCACTAATGTGTGGTTTCTTGACTAGACTGGGGACTAGTGGTGTGGTTGTGTGTGTGTGTGTGGGGGGTGGGGTGGTGGTGGGTTGGGGGGGTGGGGGGGGTGGGGGAATTACCAGACCAGTTTAACACAGACCAGGATGGACTTACTCTTTGTGGAAACATTACGACAGAAGGACAACCAAAAGAGGAGCGGCCTCTCTGTTAACCCACTTGAATGGTGACTCATTTGGACTCAGGGGGTAGTAACTTTTATGCAGCCTCAAATCTAACTTGTTGGCAGCTCTACAGTTGGGTTTTAGTGATAATAGGTTGATGCAATAGGTGAATTTCTTGTAATCCTCAAAAGCAAGTATGCCACCTACGTGCAGATAGGCAACTGCCCCTATTGGCATTCCCCAGGGCCTGAGGCTATAAGCAGGAAACAGCTAACCTGGTCTTATCTACAAAGCAGCACTAATGCTTAAATTTGACATTTTTCACTGAATTTCTCAAATGCAATTGCACAAACACAGAGCTGCAGATAAAAGCATCTTTCTGTGAACTCAAATCAATCTGTGCGTTTTACCCCCCCCCCACCCCCCCACACACACACACGCACACACAACTTTTGACTTCTCTTGCCTCATTATCCACCTCTAACAATGCCAGCCTCTCACACACACCTTTGTTTTTTATAGAGTTGGAAAAAAAAGCAAAATAAAATCTAAACTCTAAACTTTACTATAAAATTTTATTTTGCTTGGTTATTCAAGTAAATCCATTTTTCTCCTTTCCAATTTAATAAACAGTAACACTTTACAACAAGGTTCCATTTATTAACGTTACTCAGTGAATTATTAAGCATTTATTTAAAAAAAAGGAACCCTTTATCAATGTTCCTGATATTGTTAACTGTTAAGTGTCCTTAAGGCTACGGCAAAGAGCCAGGGGGTGTCTGGTTAGTTATGCATTACTTCATATTAACATTAATAATAAACAGTTGTTAATATTTAATTTAATAGTTTAGTAATGCGTAATAATGCACCAAATAACATTAATAAAGGGATCATTTGTTTATTAATACTTAATAAAGCACTAAGTACCCTTCAAAAAGGGACAATTATTGTAAAGTGTAACCAAATAAATTAAATAAGTAAAAATACAAAAAAATTGCTATTTAAAACATAAAATGAGAAGATTGGTTTCAGAGTTTTTCTTAAACTTAAATGACAAAATATATTTGAAAAACATTTTTGGTGTTTATGTTTAAACTGCACACTAACAGCACATCATGTTAAATGCGTCAAAAGCAGATGTTGGAATTAAACATTATTATTTATGTCTCCTCCAGGTGATGTGCATTCTAAAACTCACTCATCCATTTTCCACTGACTATAATAAAGATAAAGCATCAAAATTACTGTTGAGAAGTTGAAGAGAAGTTACAAATATGAAGGAAAAGCTTTTTCATATTTGATGTTATTTAAGAAAATAATTAAAACATCTGCTCTGCAAACCTGAAACACTCTGGCAATAATTAATAGTTTCATAAATAATAAAAGAAGACTGCTTCCTCTTGAACTCAGACATAATTATGAGATTCATCCTCAACTACCTCAGAGATGACGTCAGGTTTTCTGTTTCAGCCACATAATCAGTATTTTGCTGTTTTTTAAAACTTTGATTAGGGCTGTCTGTGTTGTTTTAGCGCATCAGCTGCATTAGTATTTTGGGTTGATTTCCTTTAGTCTGCATTTATTTACCTTGAGCCTCATTAAAATAAATTAAAATATGAATAATTCCAATCGCTGAAGTAGAAAGCGTGTAGTTTTAAATCAACTTGGAGCAAGAGCCTTTCAGGGGATTTGAGGGGGACAAAAGAGGGTGTCCACATATTTTAGGAGAGATTGAGGAGGATCTTCAGGCGCCAGAGGTGACAGCCGTGAGTGTGTGCTAAGACTAAGAAGGAGAGAGAGAGACAGAGAAAGAAAAGCAGCAGGTCAAAGACCACCACTCTGATGTCCAGAGGGATCTTCTTACATCACCGAGGACAGGACTGCGTAAAGGAGTCCATCACGCATGATTACTCCAAGCAAACACAGCTCCAGGCACACACACACACACACACACACACACACACACACACACACACACACACACACACACACACACACACACACACACACACACACACACACACACACACACACACACACCAAAGGAAGTCTCCCATTGCTCTTGTTTCAGGGAGGTCAACTGTGTGACAGTCGGAGGTGACACCTTTCCACCAGGAGACTTCTGATTGGGTCGTGACAAATTACGCAGCTCCCGTTTCACCCGTCCCTCAACGCCGTCTCATCACACGACCGATGTTTACGTTTGCTCTGTGCATGCTCAGGCCATCTTCTAAAAGTTTAACATTACGTGTGACGTGGTTCTTTACGAAGTTCTGACAAGATGCACACCCCTAAAGTTTGAATTATCCTGATGATGTAATCTAACGTACAATATGAATTTTAGGGTTATTAAACAATGTTTATGAGTTAAAATGTAACCTGTCAGTATTTTAGCACAGGGTTAGGGTTCTGACATTATTACCCCCAGATGATCTGATCGCCTTGAGGGGAACACAGGACAAAATGTCTCCAAAAGACCAGACTTTCCAGGTTTATCCCACCGATTAGAAGAGCTGAGGAGAAAACAAGATGAATCACTGATCCATGCTCCACTTTCTCTTGAACACTGCATGCCTGCACATGTGCTGGCTCGACTGAGTGAGTGTGTGAGAACCACTGTCTCCGTGTGAATATTTATGAGTGTGTGACCCAAACGGAGAGACAAAAGGAGAGAAAGCGCCCGCTGCACGTCAGGGCCACAAAACGGCATATACTCACTGTCCATGTGGCGGACTTGGCGGTGCTGGATTGCTGGAAGGACACCTGGAAGGCATGTGGCCCGGGGTAGTCAGTGTTGGAGGGGATGGCCGGCGTGGGAGACAGGCCCTCAAAGGTGGAGTTGGGCTGGGAGTAAGGCGAAGGGGTGGGCACGGCCGACGAAGAGGTGTTCTCAGAGCTGTAGGGGCTGGCGGACGTTGCACGGCTCCCCAGGCTCTCCATGCTGCTGCTCAGCAAGTTGTACTGGGACTGGGGAGAAAGGAGAGCAAAGGGAGTGAAACAGCCGAAAAGGGAGGGAGCATCAAGGCAGAGGGAGGACACAGGTGGAGGTGTCAGAGAGAGACGGAGACGTAAAGGTCGGATTACAGTGGAAACAGGGATTTGTGTGTGCTGGGAGTGAGGTGATGCATGTGTAACGTTTTAGTTAGGTGTCCACGATGTTCACGTGAAAAACCCCAACCATCCACACACTTGAACCGTTTGGGTGAGTGAGTGGCAGCAGCAGCAACTCCTCACCCCTCCAGGCTATTGGAGGTTAGTTGTAAAACATGGACACATTATGCGGTCCTCCTAATTGCCTGCCATTTCCCATTTTTCCTCTTTGCTGTGTTTGTGAGGATTTGACACAATGAGGTGTGCACTGTGACACCGCCAGTGACTGTTTCAGAGGAAAAACACATATCTTGTGGTCACCTGTTGCATCATTTTAATTAAAAATGAACAACAAAATAAAGAAAAGGGTTAAACTTGTCTGTTTTTTCCCCAAATCCTTAGAAAAAGGACACAACCAGATTCAAGATTCACTCCAAAGTACAGAAATATCTACTAAATTCATATCAAAACTTGATGTGTCACTTCATGTGTTGTGATCAAGTCAAGAAACTCTCTTGTTAAAGCTTCAAAGCATTTCAGCAACGGCGTTACACAAAAACACCACAAACCGTTGTCCAGACAAAGCAAAGATCTTTACCTTCTTCTTCACGTAGTACATCCTCTAGTGCATGGGTCTCATTTGTCAAATCCCCAGTCAGTGTAACGTCCAAACACAACAAAGCAAAAGAGAGAGCAGGAACATAGCCTAAACTCAGTCCTCAACCAAGGTGTGCATCAGTGGACCTGTCATCCCACGCGCTCACAGACACATGTGCTGCTAGGACAGGAGGAGAAATAAAAGGTGAGGACTGGTGTGGAGAGAGAGAAACGATAGACTGAGAAGGGGAGAGAGAAGCACAGAGGGAAGAAGGGATGGGAACCCAAAAAGTGGTACGACATTCTAATTATGGCATGCCTGGACATAGACGGCAATGCCGGGGTGCATGTACACACACGCTCCAAAACACCTTGTGAAGGCCTGGGCTAAGTCAACACTGTCTGCTCCGACACAGAGACAGCAAGATGAGAGAGGGAGAAAGAAAAGCAAGAAGCAAAATATATAAAAAGGACAATAGTTCAAAGGTCAGAACCCCCCACAACCCCACCCTCTCTCTGTGTTGTGTATCATTATGATGTAAAACGGCAACATTGCTGATGTTCTGTGTTTATTTTCTATTGTTGGAAAAAATGTGGAAGTTTCATGTATCTTTTTAAACTGAAGTTTATTTTATTTTATTTAACTTAATTTTTTAAATAATGCTCCAAGAAGCACAGTGAAGTCTGCGTTAATGACATTCGGTAAGGATTAGGCCAGAGTAGGCTAAATAATTTAGCAGTTTTTAAATTTAATTAGCTTATTTCCCAATTTTGTCTGCAAAATTAAAACTGATAAAAAAATCTCAAGGATATTTATCTGCGGTACAACAGAAAATAGCATTTAAACGTACTCAAGTAGTTTGCTTGAATACAACTGTGAGGTCATTGCAAAGGGCACTGTAGTTATTTGCTATTTAGGAAAAATATATATTTTTGTTTTAAATATGAAAACAAAAGTTACTTTAACAAAGTGATAAAAATAACTGAAACTAATTTCATATTATGGTTTCTGAAAAAGAAGATATCCTTTTTTTCACAATTATTTTCTCAATAAATGCTTTAATCATCCGCCTTGCTAAAAATTCTAAATAGTAATGTTTTCTTTTCTTTCCTATTTCATAACAAATATTAATATAAAATATCAGAAAGCATTAATAAGTGATCAAACAAGTCGTTTAGATAGGCAGAAACTATATTTGTATGTTTTTGAATCAGGAAATAAACCAGAAAGAACTTGTTGAGTGTTTTATTTAACCACCAGAGGATGGCAAAGGTCGAATCTTAAATGAAGGTACATTGGATCTATACATTGACTCTAACTCTGGTGCAGTACGGCACGCCAGATAGAGCTCTGCTCACACAGCTGATCAATTGTTCCGTTTCTTGATAAAAATGTGCTCCACCAACTTCTGGAAGCCTTAAAAAACATTAGTTTCCCACCATTATGGTGTTAATCAGCTTAAAAGTTTCCTGTTAAATATCATCAAAGAGTTTTTTGGGGAACAAAGGAATCCCAGGTGTGTGTGTGTCGTCGACATGAAATGTTTCTCTCTCTCTCTCTCTCTCTCTCTCTCTCTCTCTCTCTCTCTCTCTCTCTCTCACACACACACACACACACACACACACACACACACACACACACACACACACACACACACACACACACACGCACACATGTGCATTCTGTCACACTCACAGGTGTGCTGGGTCTTAATACCTGAACTGAATCCACGACAAGTTAAAACAGAGCTAAAGCCTGTGTGCAAATCTGTGTGTGTGTGTGTGTGTGTGTGTGTGTGTGTGTGTGTGTGTGTGTGTGTGTGTGTGTGTGAACATTTCCCATCCCAGCATCATCTGATGTCCCCCATGGGCAGGCATCCAGCAGCTGCCACTCAGAAGCCGGGCTTAAACCCTGAGAGGGGACGATAAGCCTTCTGCAGAAACCTTCACTAGTCGTGATGATTGAGGCATAATAGGGTGAGGATAAAAGCAGCAAGTCTGTAATCACATCACAGCACGACCACTTTTAACTCGATCAGCAAAATATTGTCCCATTTTGACATGTGACCCAGTTGGGAAACATCCTACATGCATGAAAGTGAGCTGCTTATGAACAGCATGGTTTTACATTAAAAGGTGGGATCTGCCAGAGTAATGCTAATGCTATTGAGAGGTAAAGGTAAAAACAAGCAGGTGTCAAGTGGAACAACGTTGCCCCCTGTTGGGACTAGCAAAGTTCTGAAAGAGTGCATTGAGGCTACAGAACCACATCTACTTCGACTGAGAAACAGAAGAGGAATCACGCCAACTTTTCTAATTAAATCTTAATGTAAAAAATATTTGAATACAGTTTGAATTCTGTCTGAAGTGTCATGAGGGTCAGGCCTCCAGCAAAATCATCCATACTTCTGTCAATACAAAAATCACAAAAATAACCCTAATACATAAACCATTTCCAGCCACAGCAGAAATAACTGCACCAGACACCTGAACCTGCAACAGAATACCTAGTTTCCTAGAAACACTAAACGTGAATCCACCTTTGCAACCAAAAGCTGCACAAAACACAAGTTCTAAACACAATGATGCCAAACGTTAAATGCATTTTCACTTACCACATCGCAAAGCATCTCAAGACTCCTCAAGCATCGATTATGTTTCGTTGATGCTTCTGCGGCATGTTGGTCTTGAGGTCTGAGCAACCAGGTGACATTTCTACCGAGCAGCGGGACATGATGGAGGATGAAAGATACCCGACCTCTTGTTTCCTTTTGCTTCACTTGGCCTTCTTTGCCTCCCCTGCATCTAACAACAAATGCTTGCACCGCCTCTATCTTCTTTCTTTCATGACTATTCATTAACCACCCAGGCAGGCCTGGGCTTGCCCACTTAAAGATGACAACCAATAGTCAAGATTTGAGGAGCACAACACCGAGGTGTTGTTGATCTTATTATATCGGAGAGATGATCCAGAAAGGATGTGTATTTTTTCACAAATGAAGTTCCTTTTTAGTGTGCAACCTTGTGCGTGCACCTGCAAACTCCCGTGCATGCTCAATGCACATGCACACACGCAGACACACTAACAGATGGCTCTGTGGAACAGCAAAGGGTCAACTTGGGATTTCATGAGTCCTCCAACACACACACACACACACACACACACACACACACACACACACACACACACACACACACACACCTACAGAGAAACAGAGAGGGAAAAATCTGCAGAGGAGAGGGAAACTAGAGGGATTGCATTTTAGTGCTGGAGGGAAGAAAGACATAAATGAATGGGGGTAGGGTGTTGAATGTGTGTTTGAAGAAAAACCCTTAATACATTATTTCTGTAAAATAAAATAAAAAAGTGTTGCTCTTACCATTACGTTGTCATTCATGTCTCTCATGTGAAAGACATCCATGGAGACCTCTGCACTGTTTCTGTGATTCCCTGGCGTACTCGTGGAGGGCACTGCATGTTCACCTCGCTGGCTGTTTGGAGGGAGCTCGAAGTAGGTGCTGTCTGGTTCTCTGTGATCATGTAGCGAGTACAAAATCATCATAAATGTGACTGATTTAAAAGGAAAATTAGATGTGTGTGTGTGTGTGTGTGCAAATCTGTGTCACAGACAACAGAAATAAGGTGTGCATTTCAACTCGGACAGTTTATTTAGCAATAGTACATAAATACATTTAAATACATTTGGGTGCTTTTGGTTTAAAACAGGAAAAAATTAAATACTATTGTGTATTCGATCTCATGCATCAAGCACAATCCAGCTGTTATTACTACCGTTTAGAATAAAATAATTATGCTCATTTAAAAACTGGCAAATGATAATAAACGTGTCTTAGTGGAGGTGTGGCTAGAGGTGGACAGCAGTTGCTTACAGGGAGCTCCACAGGTGCTCATAGTTGCCTCCTTCTTCTGTTAAGGTGGACTGGGACATCTTAAAGGATGTGTAGTCTGGTGAAGGGCAGATCACTCTGCAAACATGAAAAGATCTTTGTTTATATTCTGTGATTTGGTCATTTAAAACATTATAAAAGGCTCAAAAAGTTTGAATTAAGAAAACAAGTTTTGTTTTAAGTTTAAGGATAAAGTTAAACGCGCGCACGCACACACACACACACACACACACACACACACACACACACACACCAGGTGTGATCACACTCATGCAGCCCCAGCGAGATGGCACAAAGCACCAGGGGGCCTGAGCGTGCCCAGACCTGCTTCGCTCATCATCTCAATCCGAGGGGAAGCTTCGCCTCCTCGGAGTCAGAACCTCACATCATCCAATCATCTCTCAAAACAAAGACTCTACTAACATAGCATAGGGCCCACTGCTCAGGATGGCAGCTTCAGGAAGCTCAGAGAAGGAACAAGAGAAGGAGAATCACCACAACGTGCATTTGGTCGTAAAAGTTTAGCAGCTCATATTCATGCGCAACAGCGTGACGTCTCCTTAGTAACCCACCCCTTTGCAGGACTTCGCAGAAGAAGAAAAAACTTATGGCAAAGATGCACGAGTACAATGAAGCATGCTGTAATGTATGCATAAATAAATAAATGCATAACTAACTTATAGATATTTTTCAGAAAGTGACATTGGGTCAATATCGGTGAAAGATTATCTGTACAGAACAGAGGTCTGAACTGAATCGATTGGAGATATGAAGTGTTGAAAGTGGTGTGACTGTTGAACATGCAAGTGAGGTCTAAACAGATCTAATGTTCCTTAAGGTAGTCGACCAAACGCGCAATTCATCCTGGCTGCAGCAGCTGCGCGTTCCCGCTGCTCCGCTGCTTTCTGGCGCCTCGAATTAAGGAATATGTTTTTTGGGAGGGGTTGAAGTCGTGATTCTTGTTTGAAGACAATATTAAAATAATGTTAAGAATGGACTTGACCATGCCACAATTAACAGGATTCTTAATTAAAAGACATTTGCGGAATAAATGGTCAAAATGTGCAAAAAATATTCTTATTTCCTTTAATTAGACCAGTCTACACGGTTATGTTAATCATACAAAACACGGCCTTAAGGAAAGTTTCGCAAATGTCACAACAATTAAATTTTAATCTGGGCTTCTGCAGATTTCACCTGTCTCCATTTTGCGTCTCCACTCCAGGGTTACAGCACCCATGACAACAAATAGTTCATACACGCACAATGCCTTCCCTGGGGCCATTGTGTGCAAAGAAACTCTCCAATGAAAAGAAATTAATTTAGAAAATTGTTTTAGATTTTCTCTTTCTCATAGGCCCAAGTGGGTAATTTAATTCAAAATAATACAGATTATTGTCAATCTATTTGGAGCTTGGCGTTAAACCTCTCATAAATTCCTTCAAACAAAAAAAAAATACATATATGAAAAAGTCACACGTTAGCCGAAAATAACTAAATGAATAATAAACTATACAGTACAAATAAGTAAAAAAAAATAATAAAAAAATACAAACATATAAAAAACCTGAGCGCACGATGAAGCGTAACGATTTTTTTCTTTATATGAATTTATTTTACTTCTGACAACAAATACAACACATTATATAAAAAATTTAACCTAATGCCATGAATTTTATTTCGTAATAAAATAACCGGATGTTACAAAACATATAATCTATTTAAAACACGTTTTAAGAATTTAAATTACTTTATAAACGGACGGGCCTACCTGAAGATTATTCTTATTCCAGTCCAAACACTCAGGAATGATGTTGCGCTGAACACCTGTCTGTTTATCGAACATGCCAAGAGAGTGACCCTCCATAAAAATTGCAACATGAAGAAACAACAACAAAAAGCATAAATCGACTCAACAGCCTACGTTTGATAAGAGTAGCGGAAGTTAATTGACTTTTCGCAGAAGCAATAATAACCGGAAACAAGGGAAAACTGATTTGCATGCTCTTCAGAGAAGGGATGGCTGAAGGAGACCGAGGATGAGGAGGAGGAGAAGAACTGCTTTTTTTTTTTTTTTTTTTTTTTTTTTTTTTTGCACAGAGAAGAGAGGCGGCGCGGTTTGGCCTCACATAAGCGGGAAACCTTTATCGGACTGGGAGATAAAATATTTTGGAAGCATGTAAACACACAAAAAAACGTGTTCCCTAAATAGACGACAAATCAGCTTGGTATTTTGAAAATCCCATTTATATACAATAAATAATGAAAGAAACTCAATAATATTAAAATCAGATTAAATATATATGAGCCTAAAGTTTAAAACATCCTCAAATAAAAATACATTTCACTAATTAGAAAAACAAACATTATATTATATTATATAAAATACTCCTAAACTTGTTACACTCACTCAAATTGACACTGACGCAGAAGTCAACCAGTGTGCACTGTAAACTACATTACCCAGAATGCACTGAGTCACAGTCAACACGCTGATTGGACAACACTGTTCATACAAACGTCCCAACAACAGTTGGATTAACATGAATCCTACGCTGTCCTGTGGATGATAGGTTTCTGAATGGCTTGTGGAACTTCTTACGGTTCACTTTTTGGTGGAAGAACTCCTGCTGTTGACGTCAGAGGTAAGTTTAGTTAAAAAGTTCGACTGCGTAGCTTGCATTAGCGCTCAATGCTAACTTTACTAGCCCAGTGACATCTGCTCAACAGTTGGCCTTACGAAGGGTTTACGTGCGTTTCTCACTTCTTCCTGTCCAGCTGTTAAATATGTCAATAATAACAAAGCAAGGAGCAAGTCAAACAAATTATACCGAGGAGATTAGTTTTTTATTGGATGCTGTCTCTGCTAGTTGAGTTAGACTATCCGTATCTTCTCCTTTTGCTAGCATTGCGTTTGTAAACAAACTATTATAGCTTCAGCTATTAGCAAAGTTTAATTTTAAAGTATTCTGTGTATTACGACAGTAAGTTTATTCAGCGTTCTCCTGGTTACTGGGTAGTTCTTTGTTTGGCGTACCTCGCCTTCATGTGGTCGTATGTGGAAACTACAGCAGCTAATTTGTCCTGTGAGGATGTGTTTATCATAAAGGATGATTAAAACTGTGCTTTTCTCTTTTTATAGCAAGACCTGCGGAAACAAAATGAATTTTTCTGAGCTTTTTAAACAATCAAATCAGCTTTGCAAAGTGTCCCCAGATGGAAAATATTTGGTAAGTAACAAATAACCTGAAATACACGTTTATCTATGTAGTGGCATTTTTTTCTGACTCTTTTGTTTGCTCTGCTCAGGCTACCTGTGTACAGTACAGGCTAGTGGTGCGAGATGTGAGCACGTTGCAAATCCTGCATCTCTACACCTGCTTGGATCAAGTATCCCACATGGAATGGTCCTCTGACTCTCTGTTTATTCTCTGTGCGATGTACAAGAGGGGGCTGATACAGGTAAGTCACAAATCACAAGTCAATCATTATATAACATTTTCCTGCAGACAAATATTATGAGCTAAATTTGTTGTCATTCTAAAGGATTAATCACCAATGAAGGGAATTTTGTCTTTATTTTGGCAGAAATACTACAGCAGTGCATTCATTTTAACACCATGTTGATAATATATCCTAATTTTGCATATGGTTTGTACATTTAGTATTAAAATGATGTAGATTCTGCAAACACAAGATACATAACACAATTAATTCTTTAGTTCGTGGTAAAGTTGTTATTCTTTTTAAATTTCATTCAAAGATATAAAAATAATTCAAATCCTGATAGAAACAAAAGTGTGAAAATGGTCTCTTACATGATTTAAAAAAATAATTAAATAAGACATTTTGTATTTGGTATGCCAGTCTTGGTAGTGTTTCAATCATCTCAGTGTTTTGTGTTATTTTATGAAACAACATATAGTTTATTCATATGGATGAGGACAATTGGTAAGAGATTATTATTTATCAACTGTAATAATTTGCTAAATGATAAAAAATCCAAAAGTTTAGACTTTTGGGACCTGGCTGTTATGTTTATGACATGAAGTGTCTCACACATGATAAGAGTGTGTTAGGTTTTCTGTACCAATTTTTAATTCGCATCAAAAATTTCCATTAAAACTTTTAACAAAGAAACTTAATATGATCTAAGTTTTAATTTTTATTTTAAATGATCAAATAAAAATCCCTGTAAATTCAAAATAATCTGTAAGGTTTGAGGTTTTCTTTGCAGTGTTAGTGTTACACTCATTACAGTGCAAGCATCTTACCTTTGAGTGGATATCCAGTGCCAGTCTTTCATGTTTTCTGATTCTTAAATTTAAAATGAAGTTTTTGAAATGACAGGGTGTGCACGAGAGAAGTTCTCAGTCACTACTGTTCGTTTATCATTCTCTGCCCTGTCTCCGTCTTTTTCTTTTTCCCTCCAGGTGTGGTCGCTGGAACAGCCGGACTGGCACTGTAAGATAGATGAGGGCTCTATCGGACTAGTCTCCTCACGCTGGAGTCCGGACGGACGTCACATTCTCAACACCACTGAGTTCCATGTAAGTGTGAAGGTGGTTGGTGCATGTGTGCATGCGTTCAGACACACAGAAGTGTTGTTTATGCATATGCTTGTCTGGTTTCAACTGTTGCTGGCCCGTAAGGAGGGGGGACCTGAAAATAGCCAGACACCAGAGCCTTTCTTGACTGCCCGGACACCCCTCCCCTCCTGCATGTATTCTGCCTGATTTCATTCCTTCCCCCCTGTTAGCGTCCTGTCAAACATGGGTCTCAAGTACTTCTTAGACATTTCTGCTGTGCGCACGTGCCCCATTATTCCCAATGAAATTATTTTAATCATGTTATATGGCAAAAAAATTGAGTCGGCAACTTAAAACAGATTCAAGTTAGTTGCAGAGACAGAGGTGTTCAGTAGCGGTCATCCAAACAACTGACAACATGTAGTTTCTGCTGTTAGTCTCTGTAAATATGAATCAAAATGTTGTTGAAAATGTATGAAATGATGCCCAGCAGTTGAAAAATATTGTCGGCTTCATAACATAATCATAAAAATCAGGTCTAAAATACATGGGAGCAGGTCTAAGTCTCAATGCAATTTTTCGTTCTATGGGAGCCCTTCAGGACAAAATGCGTTTACTGATTTGTAAGAAACTGTTACAAAATGTCACCATACACAAACGTTGTTGTTTTACACATTTACCTCTTCACTTGTTGCCAGTGTTGAAAGGGAGTCTAATGTGCTTGTAGGGTTGCCATGGTAACCGGTGTAGCGGTAAAAAAGTTGACAAAAATAATAACCGTCTTGTTTTAAAAAAAAAATCTCGGTGGGTTTACCGTGTCCCAAATAATTTATGGCGCGGTGACCCTTACCAGCCACCGTATCATCTGCTGAAGTTACCGGCGGCACATGCACACTTTCTTGTTTACAGCCAAAACGTTCTTGAAGCTAAAGCTTAAATAATGGACAAAGGAGGTGACGGCAGCGCTCAGGACATTTATTATCCGTCAACGAAGACAAAGTGGGAAGTATGGGCATTTTTTGGGATATTTGAAGAATGCCAAGGGACAGTTGATAGAAGACGGCTATCCTGTTTGCAGCACGTGCAGAAAAAGTGTCTGTGAAAGGCAGCAATGCTTCAAATCTCATGACACATCTGCGTGACCATCACCCACAACTCTACAGTCAACGCAAGGCAAGCTAACGTTAGCGTTTTAGCTAAAATGCGTGAGCTGAGGATTTGGTTTGAGGGAGAATGCAACGAGTCGCTATATAAAGCAGCCGCAGCGCCGCTACCTGCATATTAACCGTGTCGCGGACACCCCCATATTGAAATGACGCTATGCATTACGGGGCTCCCAGGGGCAGATGAGAGTTGGTCTCTCTCCAAGAATAATTATGAATTTAACAACGATTACTGCCTGATGACATTTTCCCAAATCTACAAAGCTCACTGGAAGGACACAAACCGAGAACAATATTTTCCTCATATAGGGTTTATTACTCAAGTAAGGGTAAAAAAAGTATCTGATTAGAAGGCTACTTGAGTACTGAGTATCATCTGATCTAATATTTTTAAAATGATGACATCAAACAGACAAAAATAAGAAGTTATGGGCAAATATTGCTATTTTAAAGACTAAAGGGGAAAAATGTAAACAAATAAACAACATAATTACAAAATCACACATTTTAGGCAAAATTTAGACACAAACTGAGGACAATATTTTCCTGATATACAGGGTTTATTTAGTTGTCTGAAAATGTAACACGTTTAAGAAAATACTGCGATAATACCGTAAACTGTGATAATTTTGGTCACGATAACCGTGAGGTTAAATTTTCACACCATGGCAACCCTATGTGCTTGTCATTTTGCCGAAGTTTGCGCTTCCCGGAGCTTTTTGACCCTAATGGACATCCATTGGTCAGGTCTTACTCCCAACAAAAAATACAGCTTGCTTGCAAAGATTTAAATATCTACTGCCATCTATCGCCAGGAAAAATACACACTGTCACTTTAAACAAGACTTGATTTCATCAGCTTGACTAAAGTTCCCGACCGGAGCCATAAATCTGACGTCAACAAGTCCTCAAATCTGAGCCCAATTGTCTTCTGTTAAAACAAGAGCGCTGCAGTGATGGAAACACCCAGTTTAAAACAGGAGATATGCAAACAAAATTGTTCTTTATTCTGCATATTTTCATGTATTGTGACTTTTGTTCGGAGTGCAACGGATCATCGTTGAGCCATAATCCGCACAGACCTCTAAGGTTCAGTACGCACGTGGTCCGCTAACGTGAAGATCTGAGGTGCCACCTGTTCAATCCAAACGAGAAAAGCACAGCTGCTAGGCCCGGGACCATAACAAATGTTGCTGGACTATGTATTGTCCAGCAAATGATTGATAAATGATATTATTGTCGACATTATCGAGACCAACATAATCACATATAAAATTAAAATATCATAATAATGCAAGTACACCCTTAAAAGTGTCGTCGTCGTCTTCCTCCGCTTATCCGGGTCCTGGTCGCGGGGGGCAGCATCCCAACTAGGGAGCTCCAGACCGTCCTCTCCCGGCCACCTCCACCAGCTCCTCCGGCAGGACCCCAAGGCGTTCCCGGACCAGATTGGAGATGTAACCTCTCCAATGTATCCTGGGTCGACCCGGGGGCCTCCTGCCGGCAGGAAATGCCCAAAACACCACCACAGGGAGGCGTCCAGGAGGCATCCTGACCAGATGCCCAAACCACCTCAACTGACTCCTTTCGATCCGGAGGAGCAGCAGTTCTACTCAGAGTCCCTCCCGAATGTCCGAGCTCCTCACCCTATCTCTAAGGCTGAGCCCGGCCACCCTACGGAGGAAACTCATTTCGGCCGCTTGTTTCTGCGATCTCGTTCTTTCGGTCATTACCCAAAGCTCATGACCATAGGTGAGGATTGGGACGTAGATCGACCGGTAAATCAAGAGCCTGGCTTTCTGGCTCAGCTCCCTCTTCACCACGACAGATCGGCTCAGCGTCCGCATCACTGCAGGCGCTGAACCAATTCGCCTATCGATCTCCCGATCCCTCCTACCCTCACTCGTGAACAAGACCCCGAGATACTTAAAGTCCTCCACTTGAGGTAGGACCTCTCTCCCGACCCGGAGTTGGCAAGCCACCCATTCCTGGTTTTAAAGTGCAACAATGAAACTTTGATTTAACATCGAAATGTCCAGAACTTCTAAATAAAAAAATAAAACAAAACAAAAAAAATAATAAAAAAATGGCTCTCTGTTAGAAAACAATAAAACAGACCCTCGATATATCGAGGCTGGAAAAATTGAGTTCATTTTCATCTATTGTATGATTAATTGATTTGTTTATTGTTCCAGCCATACCACCTGCATTGTTTGAGTCGGCGGCATGGGAGCGTTTAGGCTTCCCAGCTAAAACTTTTAAAACCTTTTTTGTTACGTAACAGAAGTATACTCACCAGGTATGTTTTATTTCAGTACTCTAACTACCAGGGACTGTTTGACATATCTATTTAACTCTGCTGAGGTTATATGATCATTTATCGTACCTTTCCCAGAGGCGTAACACAGCCAAAAATACATGAAACATATACACTTTTGTGATCTGGGTCTGTGGTTTTTAAAACATTTCCACAGAAATATGTTTTTGTAGCTCATACAGCTTCCAAAAACAGCCCAAGAGGGATTGAGTTCAGTTTATGGAAGCCTGCAAACGTCCACTCAGACTAATAAAGACGTATTTAGTTATCTTGTGTGCCTCCGTATTCCGGTTTTATATCCACCCCAGAGCAAGCATGTGTTGTAAGGGGTGAGAAGACACAGCAGCATTTCTCGCGGCGTGTGGAAAATGACAGGGCACCATGCTAGGCCATGTCAGTCAGGCTGAACCTGACTCCACAACTCATCGACAGGTGCTGTGGAGCAACAACCCAGTGTGTCTGGTTTGGAAGAGGGTGCAAACAGGACGAGCGTTTCTTCTGTGTCTGTTTGCATCGTCCAAAAAACAAGGACATTTTTAACTAGTAATCAACAGCTGAAGAAGCCACACTGGTTTACAGGCTCATGACTGAGCCTTAATTATCACGTCATTGAGCAGCTTACTGTTATTGTAATGTAGGGGTGTGACGGTCAGACGTCATTCCCTAATAAATTGATTGTCGCTTGTTATTGAGGCAAATTTCTGTCAGCCTCTCGTTAGCTCTGGTACATAAATGCCTTTGAGTTGCATCAAAGAATTCTATAATTTTTTCCTAAAAAGTCACTTTCAATATAAATATTGCTTTTATTTTTATTAGGGATGCTCAATTTAGTCATTTTTTTAAACAAAAATTCGATATTGTTGACTCTTAATTTCTGATGCGGATATATGCTGTGTCTCATATAAAAGAAAAACTAAAACATTTAGGTTACTAACATCATAAATCTCCTATCAAACATTCTCACATTTGAAACATTTTCTGTGCGATATGACAACAACTACAGAAAAAGTGCCATATTTAGCAGCTTAGTCTCATTTTCCCTAAATGTGATGCTAACATGTGTATATTAGTTATTAATGTATTGTTTTATTTCTGTGTATTGCAACTAGGGATCTGTATTGGTGAACCAAAGCGACTTACAAGTGATAATCGGCATGTTGCCCTTGAAGCTAACAACAACAACTAAAAGAGTGAAAATAAATTTTCTGTTATTAAATTTTAATGCCGACATTACTGTTAGACCATTAATATTGAACATCCCTAGTATTTATCTGTGGATGGAGTATAATTAAGTTGTGGGTGTGTTTATCATCAGTGCCTTCTATTTGAATTGCCATTGTGTTGGAAAAATGCTATAACAAACGAACTTGAATTGCTTTAGCAGTTCAGAGGGAACAGTAGACTGAAGGGTAACAGACATGTTTTCTGATGGATCTTTATTAACTAGTGTTGTGTTTTTTTAAATAGTTCAGGAACTCGTGTTTGTTACCTCAACTTGTATTTCGCTGCTGTACTTCCTGACTTACATAGTTAACTTCTTGACTTCCTTGACATACTTTAGCTGGAAGGGTTGCCAGTGTGAAGCCAGGGAAAGCAGATAATTGTTTCAAATTAGCCAGAGGACCCACTGAACTTCTCTTCACCCCATCTCTAACTTTCATTAACGTTGGCATTGGTGTTGGGCTTAGGTTTCAGCCTCGCTCATAAACAGCCTGCTATATTAACTTGTTTAGTGACAGCTGCCTGGGGTCTGCATCACGCCTTTGTGTAAGTGTTTGTCTGTCTATGTGCTGGTAAATCTGCTTAGTTGGCTCCGAGTTGATCTGTCTAAAATCTTCTAATCATTCAGATTTTTTTATAACCTGGTGCGTAATATTTAATCCCAAAGCAGCTTCTTCAAATTATACTGAAAGCTGTTTCGTAAAAGTTGGGTTTAACCTGGTTTGTTTTTGTAGAAGTTACAAAAGGGTTATTTACGGACGGCTCCTAATACACGATTTACTAGAAAGTCCCGTTGCACCAACTTAGCCGGTGTCCTCTTCTGTTTGGATTCCGATCATTTATCCGAGGACCTCGCGTAATGCCATTCAGAACATCCACGTTAATCCTGCTTCACCAGCTGAGAGGTGAAGAACCAAGAGTGGAAAAAGGTTGGTCAACAGCCCTGGGTGACTTCTTGAATACTTATTTATTTGTTTTATTTTACATTGTTGGGATCAGATTAGCAGTAGCAGCCTTGGCTGGAACAGCTGAAGATTTGCTTACATGTATCGCCATTGGCAATATGGCTACTGTGAACTATAAAAGTAGGCGACTGGTGCACCGAGACGTCTAACAATAGTTTCCTTACCCCAATGAGAAGCTCTATTTTTATTGGTAAAATGATGAGATTGTAGTATTAGAAATGCTTTATAAAGATTTTAGGTAGCTCCGATCTTGAATGCTAACAGATTAGCTCATGCAGGTTGCAATGTACGTGACAAATCTCTGGGATTCAGGTGGACAGGCTTTAAAATAATGGTTGAGCAGGACCTGTTAGATTTCTGTCAGTAGCTGTAATCTATAATCAAACTTGTTATGATTAAAGAAGGTAGACATTTCATATTTTCACACCAACAAAGTCCCAACCTACTCAGCATTAGTAAGTATGTTACATCCTAACTGCAGCTTTACCAACCAAGGATCCAGTTGCAAATGGCCCCACATGGAAAAACATCTCCCACCTATTTCCCTTACAGCACTTTTTTGCATCAAGTTTAAAGTTACACTCCCTGCTGGTCACGATGATCACTCTGCATCCCCTATGTGGCGGATTCGAAGCATCCGAGTGTGTGGGTGTTTGAGCAGTGTTGACCCTGGTTGTCATGGCAGATTGTCTGAGGGGAAGTCCAGAAAGCTGTTATTACAGAACCTCCGCAGCTGTTTGCCAAGACCAAAACGTAAAGATTAACATCCTGATGCTGAATATGTAATTTATGTTTATTAATTTGTTCTGATAAAAACTCCAAACCAATGAATCGATGTCACTAAAAACAAACACAAACACATGACTAAACCACCTCATTTTTTTCTTCCACGTACACTTATTTATTTGTTTGCTTCATTATCCCAGACCTGTAATTGGTATTGTAGGGAACTTAAATTTAACTATGAATAAAAAGACCTTTTTTGCATTTATTTTTGAATGATCGTTTAGGAGAATGTGTATTATGTCCGTGAGGTCCTGCTTTCTCCAACAACTAGGTGAAATTAAGCATGGCAAATGAAAGTCAGGTCAGTGAAGGCTATGAAGAACCTAGAGCAACAAAAGACTGCTGACATCACCACATATGTTTGCATATGCTTACATCGTAAGCTCTGCTTTTAATATTTTACATTTTAGATCTACTACTTAATGTTTGTCAGTGCACACCTCTAGCTGAGCAACAAAGCTCCAACACAGTTTTATAATTGTAAATCATGCTGTTCGTTTATTTTTTTTAAATGTACTCATCTGTAAGAAATGTCACCAACTCTACATCAGTTTAGGTACGACCTCAGATGCTTGTGAACGACATTTGTATGCAAGTGGATGTCTAACTTAATTAATGCTGAACAGCGCTCAATTCAAATTACACGGGGCTCTACAGGATGGGAGACGGGCTTAGCAAAAAATAAATCAACGTATTGCCTAGATTTGAAACGCAGTGCAGGGTAAGACACACACATTTCTACAAAAGTCATGTAGTTCCTGAAAGGGAGAAAACTCCAGACTGCATCAGTGTTTTTTATTTCTACTCAACACAACAGCCCATCTACAAACACTTTAAGTGCAGGCCGGTCCATGTTGGGTTTGCTGATAGACACATGATGATGTGTAGAAAGTTTAATTCTATTTACTGTGAATTATTCGTGTCTTTGGTTAACATTTTTCTTTCCTCTGTTGCCGTGACAGCTGAGGGTTACCGTCTGGTCCCTGTGCACTAAAGCGGTGTCTTACATGAAGTATCCCAAAGCGTGTCAGAAGGGTGAGTATGAGGATGGTATTATGATTATAAAGAGCATGTACCACCAGAGTACCTGAGGACAGGGTCAGCTGAGCGCCTTGGCGTGCCTCATTAATCACAAACGGCTCTTTACCTTGCGGCACAGCCCAGAATATGTGTCCAGACTCTGGTCCCCTCTGCTGACAGCTGTGTCCCTCTCCAGTAAATGGGGCATGCTCTTCATAACAGACCTGTCAGCAACTAGTGGAAATATGATTGTCCCAGACTTTCCTCATTTTCCACGTGTAATACGATGCCCCTCTGCAATGCGTTTATCTCCAGGACTGTCATATAAACGATTTGGCCATGATGGCTGCATGCTGCAGACTTTATGGTGCCAAAGAATCAGATAATTACATGGGATGGAACGCATAGGAGAGTGTGATTTAATGTGTTTTACCAGCGTAGACAGAGGCTGTTTGCCACTTAATGCACAGAGATGTTAACATTAGTATATGTAAGGATTCTACTGTGGAAAATCCACATTTGAGTTTTAATTAAATCAGTAAACGGAAGCATAAATCACTAAAGTTACCTAGAAGCAGCTGTTATGCCGACACAAGAGGGTCAGATTATCTTCTTTAAAAATCAGAACGTTTCTAAGAGTTTGCTGTAACTCATCATGACACAATATTAAACTAGAACCAGTAAAGTAAATCTGTTACCCTATGGATAATTTCAGCTTGTGACTCATGGGTTTCTGCGAGGGTGTGACGGCAGCTGGAAACAATGGTTGTCGTTTAAAATTATTATTTAGAATAAGTAAAATGCTTTAAAGTCGTAATTACCTGCAGGAGCCAGTGGTCGAAACAATGGAAAATATCAACCTTGTTGCTGCTTTTTCTAATTGCGTCTTCTTCACACAGGTATAGACTTCAGTAAAGATGGAGGCTACATGGCCTTGGCTGAACGCCGTGACTGCAAAGACTACGTTAGTATATTTGTGTGCGAAGACTGGCATTTACTCAGGGTAGGTCTTTAAAACGTTTATAATGTAGTTTATTGTTGTAATGAAAAAGAAAACAATCACCCGTGCTTTAGTGCCTGGTGTCAAGGATCAGATACTTATGGGGTAATTGGCAATTTTTGCTTGAGACCCTGTTTGTCTTCAGTAAGTCAAGCATTTAGGACCGTTTTAGAGTTGTTTTGGTTTAGTATTGGACATTATTCTTTAACTCATTCACAACCATTGACGAGAAAAGTCGTCATATTAAATCCAGCCGTTCAATGCCAATGATGACTAAATTCGTCTTTAGCATTTTTTTACTGTGTGGGCGTGAGAACGAGCCCCCGCTCCGTGAGAACAAACATCTCAGCTCTAAAGCCGATCTTCATCCACGTACGTCACGTGATCAGGAAACAGAAAATCATGTGTTAGGAGATCATTTTGGGCCACTGCTGTAAAAAAAAGTGAGGCGCGAACCAGAAAAGCTTCTGCCGATCACAATTCGACAACGGATTATGACACAACAGATAACGCTAGAAACGCAGGTGAGTCTCCGCTTTGTTTTGGTAGTTTTGGCGTTGACATCATCATAAAGTGCTACGTTCTGCGACTCTTAAACAGTAAAAACGGTGAAAAACGCTGGCAGCGAAGGGCTTTTCTGATTAGGAAAGGCTGGCAGTGAATGAGTTAATGTAGAAATTACAACCAGTAGTTAATCTGCTATTGGGTCAGGTTCTTCTGGAAGTTTCTCTCTGTTAAAGAGGGGAGTTTTCCTCTCCACTGTCACTACATGCTTGCTTAGTTTGGGGATTGCTGTCGAGTCACTGACAAAACAAGTCAGTGGCGCGATGCAATCTGTTGGGTTTCCTTAGGTAGGAAACTAATGACGAATGGGAATAATGAACTGCAATGCACAAGTTAGCCTGGCAAGCTAGACTATAAATGTGGATATATAGACAGAGCTCTGTCGTGGGGCTGAACCTATGGATGTCTATCAAACTGTCTCCTTATGCTCTTGGACAACGAACAACATGACATCCTCTGCTACGGATGTGAGTCAACGAGGCAGTACGCCATACACGGATGAAGAAGACGCAAATATATAGTTTTTCTAAATAAGGATTCAAGAATCTGCTCTTGCCTCAAAGAAAAGCCCAAGTCTAAATAGTCCAAAGCTGTTTCAAACAAGCTGTCGCCATCTTGTTCCGCTCCTTCCCACCATCCCGCCCACTAAACCGATACAGCGCTGTGATTGGTATAACACAATACTGCTCAGGCCAATGTTAGACCAGCTGAGGTTCTAATGGAGCGTGGCTAGACCGACATGCAGAGCAAAATGTTTTTGCTTTGACAACCGACGGTCTAGATTCTCGTCTGGAGACGACTCTTGTTGTGAATTGGTACTTGATCAATAAACTGAACTGAATTGAATTCATTTTTAAATATTCTTTGTCCTAATTATTTGATTAAAAAATATAAATGTTTATATTCTTAATGTGATTCTCTTGTTTAAATAAAATGTTTAATGTAATTCACAGAATTTTGAGACTGAAACTCAGGACCTGTCGGGGTTGGAGTGGTCTCCCAACGGCTGTGTGCTGGCAGTGTGGGACAGCTGTCTAGAGGTTAGCTTTCCTTTGGGCTCATGCAACTACATTATGAGTGAATGAATTTATACCTTGTTGTAGTGCATCACCATATAGGACGCATGTTGAAGCTGTTGTCTCACATTAACACCTAAACAAAAAGGAAGCAGAACAACTTTACTAACATACATTTGTACGTATCCTATAGTTTTTTTTTCCCTATAAGTTCAGACGCATTTCTGAAATCTAAGTTCAAATTAAAGGTTAAATGCCAAACAACTCCATGGTTTAGGTGGTGTGTGCTTCCTCCCCAGTATAAAGTGTTGCTGTACTCTCTGGACGGCCGCTTGTTGTCGACCTACAGTGCCTATGAGTGGTCCTTGGGTGTAAAGTGTGTGTCCTGGAGCCCCAGCAGCCAGTTCCTGGCCATCGGCAGCTATGATGAGAAAGTATTGATCCTGCAAAACTTTTGTTTTTTATATCATGAGTACCCGTTCTTTAGAAATGCAAATGAAATTCATTCATTTCAGGTGCGCATTCTCAATCACATCACATGGGGTAAAATAGCTCAGTTTGAGCACCCTGCAAGCATCGACAACACTAAAGCTGTGAGTTTTATTTAGCCGTCAGAATTAGTCTTGAATGCACTGTAATGATTGATGACCTTTACTGTCTGTCGTCTTTTCAGACCGTGTATAAGGAGGTGGAACGGCGGCCAGCTGTGCCCAGTGATGAACTGTTGCAGCACAACATCAAAGTGGGCTCTACCCTCCTCAACACTAAAAGCAAATGTATGCCAGCGGTGTTTGTTTTAGCGCTGCATTCACTGCATTCAACTAATTTCTCTGCAGGAAGGTAACTTTGTTTTGTCTGTTCCTGAACTTCCTCATCCAGATGAGATTTGTGCACCGCCTATCCAGATTCCCGTGGTTAAGCCAGACCCAGATCGAGCCAATCCCAAGATAGGGGTCTCCGTTTTGGCTTTCAGCTCAGACAGTCGCTATCTCGCTTCCAGAAATGGTTGGTACCATTGACTCCTCTTAACAAAGAGACTGGGAAATGTTGTGATTAGAGAGAGCTGCTGTGATGGTGCATTTCTGTGACTGTAGACAACATGGCCACAGCTGTGTGGGTGTGGGACATGCAGAAGATGAGCCTGGAGGCCGTGCTGGAGCAGACAGCAGCTGTACGCTGCTTTCAGTGGGACCCCCGACACCCCCGGTTGGCTCTGTGCACTGGAAACAGCAAACTCTACCTCTGGTCCCCGAGAGGCTGCGTTTCAGTTCAAGTCCCTGCTGAAGGTAACGTTAGTGATATCAACTAATAATTAGGAGGTTTTGTCTTTTCATTCAGAATTCCTGGAGTATTTCTGTTGGTAGCTCTTGGTGTGAGTCTTTTGATGTTTGACACATTGTGATCACAAACCTTTGTGTCTCACCAGGTGGTTTCCAGGTCCAGTCCCTGAGCTGGCACTGCAGTGGAGACTTTCTGATCCTGCTGGGAAAGGACCAGTTGTGTTTGTGCTACATGGACGCTGAGCAGGAAGAAAAGTAAAAAAGCACGACAGATATCCAAAGATTCCAACCGTAGTTGCATTTATCAAGTGTGTACTTAGCTGTAGACCAATATAAACACTGCTGGAAACGTGTAGCTGCTTTAACGTAGCTACGTTCTGTCTCTGAGACCTCCAGAGCGAGCTTTAAGGTGTGTTTTCTCACAATGTGGAAAAGTTGCGTCTAACATTCCTAAGTACCGGTATGTTTAATAACTGAAGCACCAGTTGCAGGCACTGTGAAAATGTTTAGTTTCTTATAGATGCCATTGTATTTTTATTTAAATGTTATGATCAATAAACTTGTTTTCTACAACGCTCCTTAAATCAAGTTACTCACATGTGATTGGCTGCACCTTCAAATGAATGAAATTGACAGCATAAATAGTAGCTGAACTACATGGTGTGAATGAGTTACGATATGTTACAAAATCTTTTTTTATTATTTCCCATTGTAGCTGCTGTGCTGCAAATCTTCAGAACAAAAGAGGCATTTAGACAATTTCACATCAAATACTTCCAAACAATAAAATCACTAAAGAAGCTTTTTTTGGCTTCCATGAAATCCTGTTAAATAATCGCCATTTGCATTTTCACTCAGAATATTATTTAACACCAAAAAAAACCTGTTGTGCAAACTACATGCGAGGAACATGCATAAGTGCAGGACGTGACGCTTTAGCTTAGCATAGCATTTTGTAAGCTTTGGTTGGACAGCAACACTTATTGACCCCCACGTCCCAGTTCTAGACGCTTGTGCAGACACTATAGAACTCAAATTTTACAACATAACATTTAAATAAACTTGTTCAACATTTAAGGAAATGTCAAAGAAAAAAGTACAGAATTTCTATCTAGAAAAAACTTGAGATGAACCATGCTTTATTACACGAATGTCTTCAGTTTCCAATGAGCTTGGCTTTCATTCTCCAGGTTTTATAAGGTCATAAAATAATAATAGACATTTTACTCATTAGCAGTCTTCATATGTTACCATTTTCACTTTCCTCCCACCTTCTAGATTACATGGACGGAGTCATTCGAACATTAAAAACTCCTAACCTGAAGGAATGAACCCGTGTTGTGTTTATGCATAAGGGATAACTTCACTAACAGCTGACCTTAAAACGAACCCTTTGCTACTTTACATGTTAGTGTCATCAAAATGATACATCAACTTAAGGAAAAGGCGTAATTTGGATCCGGCAGATATTTGAGGGATCTGTTTGAGAATATCAGCTTATAACACTGACCGTTAAAAAAATAGTCTTTTATGCCTGAAACCTGTCACGTCCCATTTATAAGAGTCCTGCTAAAATACACCAAGTTGTCTCTTTTTAGATGTTTAGATCTTTCTTTGCCAGTAAAAATGATCCCTGACCTTTGTTTTTGATGGAAATTTAAAGAAGTTACGTTTTCATTTTAAAGCTTGAATGGCTCTAAACCAGTTAAACGGCCAGACTGAAACAAACCAAAACTACTAGAGTTCCTTAAAAATCCTGGTTAAATGTTGAACACCATTGAGTTTTTTTTTTTTCCTGGAAGTAAACGATAAAAAATGAGGGTTTCCTAATGACGTTTATCTAGCCCTGTCACTAGCTCTCTCTTCAAAGCAAATAAATACGTGCAAGAACAACAAGCTACAGGATAGTTATGCAACCTTTTCCCCTCACTGATGTTGAAATGCTCCCATCGTGTCACATGACTAAATCACCTCCAATTGTTGCCATTCTAATTTCAAACCATGTTAAAGAAGAATTCTGAATGTCGTTTAACGTGGTTTAACGTGGTTTCGTGGATTTTATCTGATGGAGCTCTTTGTTGTTTCTGCAGAAAAACAAACTAATGAAATTCTTCATCTAACCAGCCAAACTCAAACATCTCGTTAGTTCTGGAAGCTTCAAGTGAGCAGTGTAGCTTTCACCCCCAATTAATTTTAAATGACTACAAGCTGCATAAGGCGTAGTGTGCACAGCTTTTATCAGCTGCAGATCGAACAGCAGTGACACCAACGTCAGGTGGTGTGAACATGTAATGACTTGATGCACACCTTAATCTGGAGCGTTCCTTTGAACAGAGTGGTAGAACATAAACACAACTGATTTAAAAGCCGAACTTCCCACGTGTCATGGAGTAGCCCAGCTTTGCTTCGTTGTTGATGAAGGACATGATCCCTAGATACGTCTCGATGAGCAGGGGTCGCTCCAGGATCAGGACGCCGTTAGCCCGACCCGGGATTGGGTGCTCCTTATGGGCCTTCTTCACCGCCTGCACCAGCTGGGTTCGGAAGTTGTCCAACTTTAGAAGAATAAATAAAGCGGGGTCAGCTCTTTATGAACATGTAACATTTGTATTATGAAAGGGGAAGTAAACCGCGTGGAATGAGGATATTCCCAGTTATAACACAGATTAGCGTCAATAAAAAGCATCTTTGAGCGGCGCTAACTCTGCACAAAGTCATAAAAATAGATTCAAGTTGGAAGAATCACTGTCTTTGTTTAGGACGATGACTTTTACCATTAAAGCACCAATCACTCCATTGTTTCCAGTTGGCCCATGACTGAGGGAGCTGCTTTTGTTGCTGTTTATGCATCAAAGACCTGCATAGTGCTCATTGTCTTTTAGCTTACAACTCAGACTTTCAGTGCAGTCATGTTTCCCCAAAGAGAAATGCTCCAAGAGAAGGTTTAATGGTCTTTGCAGTACACATGTCCACCATATTTGGTCAAATTAATGATACCTGGCAGAGAGAGGCCACCTTCTCATCAGCACGGGCCATGGGATGCTCTGTGAAGGTGGCATAGGGCATTTCTGTGGACCAGGGGTTCCAGCGGTTCAAGAACGAAGCTCGTGGTCGTTTGTCCCACTGGACACGGATCCCGTAGCCCTCTCTTCTGCAGAGCAGCAACCGACAACAGATGAATAAAGAATAAAGGATTTCAGCAAATGTGGCAGTACTTTAAAAGTCTTAATTAGCTCGATAAAACATTACCAGTCATAACATTACGACCACTAACAGGTTCTGTATGCTGAGGTGATCTGCTGGGAAAAACCTGCAACCTTGCTGCCAGAACCAGACGCTGCATTTAAACCTAAATCTTAGTTGAGCCTTTTTGCAAACCAATCACAACCCAAAAATCTTCCCCAGCTACTGTAATCGTCATTGGCCCCACAAAAGTGCTCAGAAACACAAAAAAGGAGTCTGTGGTGTACACCTGCCTCTCCAATGCTGCATCACTGAATTGAAATGCTTTTGTGGGAATCCAGTCCAAACCGGTAATACCCCACTCTATAATACAAAGCTCTTCATGGACCTAATACTCAGCCCCATTAACATGGACTCCATGCACTCAATTATATTGTTTGTCCACCTGACTGGTCATAATGTTGTGATATAAGTCTGATAATAACCATTCATTTGCTGTTGAAATGCTTAAAGGGCCTTTATGGAGTTTTTAATTTTTATGCTCGCAATTGCTCCCTCAGGCCAAAAGCGTAACGGCAGCTTCAGTAGTAGGCTCGTGCACGAGGCGCGCATGCTGTACGTGCACACTCCTTAACGAAAATAACAGCTGAGACAGTCCCTTTGTGTGTGTGTGTGTGTGTGTGTGTGTGTGTGTGTGTGTGTGTGTGTGTGTGTGTGTGTGTGTGTGTGTGTGTGTGTGTGTGTGTCGCCCGGAGGACAGAGGACAGGAGAACGCACAGCTAATTAATTAAATAATTTGGCTCTGTACCTTTCTCTTCAGCACAGCCGACAAAGGTTTATGATGGGTCAGTCCTCCTGCATGCTCAGACATTCCCTTCCCTTGCTTGAAAAAATGTTCCAAAATGAAAGTTGAACCCACATCTTTTTTATCTGTGAATTCAATGCCGTTCGGCGAGTCTCAAATAAAAATTTGGGCGTCTTATTACTGTAAAAAATATATCATTAATGTAAAAAATACACTCTAAATAAACTTTGTTCACATCCAGTATCAAACCCAGGTCTTCTGCACGAAAATCCAACATCTTACGAGCTAAAGCGCCAGTGATATGTTTTGTATCTGTAACATTTATATCCTTGATGACAGTTGAAACAACTTTCAAAAAACGGTTCGGAGGGCTATGCCTGAGCGTGAACGCACATGAAGCATCCTGCTCGACCCGAGCATCTCTCTTTTTCTGTGATTTTACCAGAAAAACAGGCAATCACGGTAAGAATGCCAGGGCTCATTCTACAGGACCAGGGCATTGCAGGAGAATGTATGAAAAAGAAATTTATTATTTCTATACATGTTTTGGCTGTCAAACTTCCATAATGCCCCTTTAAAGAAAGGAAACACCTACTTGTTAAGGGATTTGGGTGGAAACTCAAATTCTCCAATGGAGATGGTGTCCACAGCGTTGAGGGAGATCCGGATCACTTGTTGACACAGCAAATTGATGAAGTCATACTTACACACCAGCAAAGACCTACACACACACACACACACACACACACACACACACACACACACACACACACACACACACAGTGTTCGTATTTTTATTTACTCAATGTATTAAAACTAATTGACCCACTTGTCTGTTATAAGAACTAGTTTCTCCTTTTCATTGTTCCAGTGGTCGACTCTGGAGAAGAAAAAAAGACAGAAAATAAGATCATCCAGATATTAATACACATGATGATGATGATGATGATGATGATGGTAGACCCACTCTGCCAGCAGCCAGACGCTGAGCACCTCCCCGTCCTCGGATGGAAGAGCCACAGTCCGGATGTCGATCACAGCCTGCTCAATGGTACCTGGCTGGGACGAGCATCACACCCAGCTGTCAATCATCAGCATCCCTGTGACGTGTTTCTGTTTCTCTAATTAAAACTGCACTGCTGATTCTATTAGATTATTGACAGTTAAAAAAAAAAAAAGAAAACTCACCCTGAACACGAAGTAGTCCTTCACCTTCGCCTGCATCGTGGGGTTGTGCACATGGAAAGGCGTCAGCGTCTGCAAGGGGGGACAGCAGGCCACGGAGGCTGCGTGTCCGAGGGTTCGGGAGGCGGCCTCCGGCGGCGTGAAGGCAACCTCGACACCCTCCTCGATCTCTGCGGGATGGAGAACCGCAACACCCGGGCTCTCCGGCTCCACCGCGTCGTTCAGCTGCAGCATGGTGGAGGAGACGATGATCCGGACGATTTGACACCAGCAGGCTGCTGGCAGCAGCTAGACGAGAAGACCTCCCGAAGACGCGGACTCTCCCATAGCGGACCACTGTTTTGGTTGTGGGGTAAGGAGGAAGCAGTTCCGTGTCTTTGATTTCCTTCCTCTTAAAGAGACATACCCACTCATCAGGTTCATCAGTGATGGTGAAATATATGCAAAACGGTGGTGATAAATCTATGCTAGAAGTTTACATTCGAATAAATCCACCCATTTTTCAATAATAAAACTTCACACAATTCTCGTGCATCAGGTTTCCAGTGTTGTAAAGTTCACCTTTATCAGTGGCGTGTCCAGGTCTTTTAAAATGGGGTGGCCCAGGTGAGGCACAACTTAGTGCATGGGTGGCACCAATGGTTATGCTTTTTTTGTTTTACCCCCAAGCCTTTTATGGACAGTGAAAAGCCTATTTAAAAGTAAATTAGTGTGGTGGCACCTGGGGTGGCCAATCAGATTCCAAGGGCGGCATGTGCTACCCCAGACCACTGCCTGGACACGCCCCTGACCAGAACAGATATGAATTATTTATAAACATTTTACAAAACCCAACCCAAAGATCTTAAGTTTAAGGTTTAAAAATTTTAAATGTCCAACTGTACCTTTCACAACAAAGGCTTGTTGACATCAGAGTTTTATTCTCCAATCAAATTAATAGATAAATAAAGTTCCCTGAAAAATCTTCTAAAAAAATGAAGATGAACCAGTAATGAATAATTAGATTTCTATAGTAGCATTTCTTAAACAGTTTTTATATAAATAATTAAATTTCATTTCAACAATAAAAAAAAAATACATTTTCAGTGTGTCTCTTATCTCACATGTACAAAATATTTGTCTTTTTCTTTTGTGAGGCAGGAAACAGCACACCTTTCTTTTTAAATCCTTTTTAAACCTTTTAAGTTTCATCTGTAGTCCTGAAGCAGATCATCAGAAACTGCTGTTTATAACACGTGTTACTGAAAAAACGTTTTTTAGGTTAAGTGTTAGTTATGTAAAATATTTAAAAATGGTGCTGTTAAATTCAAATATTGCACAACAGCACCCTCTAGTGGATCTTCTGTAGAAACAGTTTTGTTTTTTGTAACTTTCAAGTTCTTCTATTTCTCTTCATCAAACCTTTACTACCCGAAGCATCAGGTAAAAATATTGTGGTATAAATGTACTTTTTTGGGACATTCCTAAATTAATAAAAGAAAAGCGAGAGAGTTTTTTTATGGCTGATTTTTAGAGAAGTGAACTTTGGTCAATGGAGACATTTTCATTTGATCATTTGTTTTATCTTTAAATGTTAATGATTCCAAATAAGCCAGATTACTCTTGGATATTTTGTAATAATAAAATCTGATGTATTGTTTTCACCAGTTAAATTAAAAGCTCACTAAATCATTAATTAATAAATGATCATTTTCTTCAATTTTAGGGGAAATGAATTGTAGAGGAAGTAACAAAGCTGTAGAAAAGAAAATGTGAATGTTATCACCTCCCATAAGATAGTTTCTCAGATTTTATTACATGAGAATTATTGAGGAAGTAAAGATAGAAAATATTTTATCATTCATAAAATTATATTATCCATCACACTAGATCATCATCTTTAAATATTTGAGGAAACATCAGAGCAAAATAATCTGGTTTACTTGTTTAATGTTGCAGGTGGAGCATCATACAAGAAAACAATAAAACATTCTGTTTGTTTGTAACTGAGACTTTTTCGTAAACTCTTAAAAACAGAATCTCTCAACAATTCTTTTAGAAATTTCTATCTTGTTATTTACCAGTATTTTATTTTATGATGCAAACAATGAAGATTAGAGAAGTGGAGTTTTTCAGAAATATTTCATCTCACACTGATTTCCTTTTACATCACTTATCTGATCGCAAAGCTGCAGCAAACCACATAAACCAAGTGGAACCACTGGGAATAAAATTCAGAAACAAACTCCGTTTTTACAAAAATCACATCTGAATTAGTTATTCTGTGATAAAAAAAAAAACAAAAAAATATATCCATCCATCCTTTTTCTGAACCCGCTTTGTCCACGCAGGGTCACGGGGGGCTGGTGCCTATCTCCAGCGGTCAACGAGCAATCAGACGGGGTACACCCTGGACAGAGAGCCAGTCCATCGCAGGGCAACACAGAGACACACAGGACAAACAATCACACACACGCACATTCACACCTAAGGACAATTTGGACAGACCAATCAACCTAACAGTCATGTTTTTGGACTGTGGGAGGAAGCCGAAGTACCCGGAGAGAACCCACGCATGCACAGGGAGAACATGCAAACTCCATGCAGAAAGATCACAGGCCGGGAAGCAAACCCAGGACCTTCTTGCTACAAGGCAACAGCTCTAACCACTGCACCACTGCACAGATCACCTGGGAACTTCCCTGAGACTACAATCTGATAGAAATGATACTAAATGATAATGAAAGCTGCATTTAAAACTTGGGTTAACATAGAAAGCACAATTCTGACCTGCAAAGGCTGACACTGAAGAAAGGTGACAATTCTTATTAAACTTTTGTTCATCTGCTCTCTTACTGAGGCCCAGCTTCAGCTACAAACTGACAATGAAATTAATTCATATTTGAAGCCAGCAGGTTTACATGTAGAAGCAGGAAATGCCTCAAAGCACCAAAAGAACATGTACACAGGACATCAATGCTGAGCTGAGAGAGACTAGCGCCTCGCTGGCTGGACTGAAGGTGGAGGTGAAGTACTTACAGAAAGAAAATGAAGGTATTTTAACCAAGTACACCTGTAGGAGTTACTGTTCTACCTAAAGTATTTTTATAGAAATATACTGATAATTGATATTTGTTTTTTTAACACTAACAGCTAAAGCTGACTCCCCATCACATTTCGTGTGTGTTTTAAGATATTGATGTTTGTTTTTAAAGCCCTTCACGACCTAGCTCCTCCTTATCTGTCCGGCCTGCTGACTCCCTATGTACCTTCTCGTATGTTGAGGTCAGCTGGCCGTCTACTGCTTTGGACTCCCCGGATGTCCTACAAATCACGAGGTGAACGTGCGTTTGTCCATGCTCTGGAACTCATTGCCCATTACAGTTAGGCTGGCATCTTCTCTGCCTGTTTTTAAATCTCATTTAAAAACCTACTTTTATGACCTGGCTTTTATACAGTGATTCATGTTATGGTATTATGATTTTATAGTCTTTATTGTTGTGTTTTATCTTCTTATTGTCTTTACTTTTGTTTTAATTGATCCTGCCTGTTCAGCACTTTGGTCAGCTCTCACGCTGTGTCTTAAATTGTGCTGTAGAAATAAAGTTGGTATGGTAACGCAAAAGAACTGGAGTTGCAGAAGAGTGAGCTGGACAAGCTGAAACAAAACCAAGGTGTTAACAATGAAAACACAAATACATGTAAAAGTTACAAATTAGACATTGGAAGAGCCTTATGTTTTATAAAAAAACGTATTACAATTGTTAACTTACATCATTTTTGATCATTTATTTCTTTTCTACAATTTTCAGCAAACACCAACGAACTGTTCAAGCTGAAGCAGCAGTACCAAGGTATTTGTGTACATAAATGATCATTATTCAAATACCTTCTGAAACAATCAATGACCTTAATTAAACATTACACATCAGAGTACCAGAGTACATGGCCAGGAGGGTTACATATACTCCTCATTTTAGGTTTTAGTACTGGAAAACATTTAGCTCGTTCAAGTTTCCTTAATGCTTATTTAGTGACAACAAACCTCTGTCTGAATAATTAAATTTATAAACTTTAAATATTCTGACTCCCAGTGAAACAAGTGGCTTTTTCAGCCTCTCTGATGGACTCAGGCGAAGGAGATGTTGGACCTTTTAATGTAAAAACACCTCTGGTCTTCAAATGTGTTGTTTCCATTATTGGAAATGCCCACAACCCAAATACAGGTACTCAGTTTCACTAAATACTATTAATAATACATTTATTCATCTGCTGTAAAAGTCAGTGGGATCTGGTTTCTATTTCATCACATCACAACCCTAACCCAACTATTATTATTATTGGTATTGTTGTCATTATTATTATTATTATTATTATTATTATTATTATTACATATTCTACTACAGGTTTTTTCATCGCACCAGTCAGAGGAGCCTATCACTTTGAGTTCTACATATTTGGATATGGACATGCTTCACATCCTACAGCAGCTGTGTTGTTAAAGAATGGAGACCACATGTGCATCGCATCTGAGCATCAACCTTCTTGCATTTGAACACAACAGTAGGCACTCACTTTTACTTGTGAATTAGTTTATTTGGTCTAAACCAGACCAATCAGTTAAACACTGACAAAGTCACATTTTTATTTTTTTTACTTTCTAAAGTTTTATTTAGTTCAGTAGAAACTGTAGGCAACCTGCTGCTCAAATCAGACAAATAAAACGTTTCATACCCGTGAGTGACCTACTGTATGTTCCTGTTGGAAGTTGGTTTGTTTCTCCAGTCTGTCACCAGGCAGATACCCACACCCCTCTTACCTAGTGACAGTTTACATTAGCATATTAAGCTAACACACACATTTCATTAACAAAGCTATTTAGAATCATGTATTTTACAGGTTTTTCCTTCATACCGTTCAGAGGAGCCTATCATTTTGAGTTCTACCCATATGTAGGCCATTAACCACATCCCACAGGAGCTGAATGGAGAGCAGCTCTTTTCCTATGAGCATCAACCTTCTTTTGCTGTCAGTAATGTGGGGGTATCACTGGTATTAACAACTGGAGATGTGTGTATACATCAGTGGGAATTATTTTACAATCCAAACCGTCACACCTCCTTCGGTGGTCACCTGCTTTTCATGATGTAAGCAACTGATTATTTTTAGACAATTTCACACAAGAAGCAAATTTGCACATTTTTATAATAAATCTCTCAGAACATTGGAGATGATCGCTACTTTTATTGTTGTTTACTTGATCTAAACCAGATCTAACCTGTATGTGTTCTCTTTATAAAACAGGTATGCTGCTGCCTCTGCTTGATATCTACTTTACTGAAATCCAGGCTTGTGCCAGATATCTTAGACTCAGGAGCTTAATGTCAGAAATACTTACAGGTTTCCTTAAATTCAAGCGTAAAGATTTTTCTAAATTAGATTACTGCCATCATCATCACACAAACATACACATAGGACCTTGGGGGGTGG